CAATGGGTTAGCCTTTCCTCGAGTTTAATAAGGTAAGCCGATTTGCCAATCTGTATACAACTCAAATATGGAAAGGTTTTGTTCCTCTCAGTTAAATTTGTTTTTATATTACCAAATAAAAGAATCCCCTTCAACACTGCGCATGTAGAAACATCATAAACCATATGAAGCAACTAACGGCACTGATTTTGACATCTCAACAAATCCTGGTCTAGCCCTGCCTGGCAGGTCACCCATCACAGATACCTGTCACACAGCAGGTGCCTGAACTGCAGCTGTCCTGGCTTTGGCCACTTTGAGGATACCTGTGTCCACTCACAGACCCATGATGGTTCCAGTGCCAGCTGCACCCTCAGGTTCCTGTTTGTGAGAATGTGGGGTTCTAAGTTAATTAATTGGCATCAATCAATTCCCAGATAACACTCAAAATTGCTACACATGGAGTTGAGAAAACACTGAAAAGCTTCAGCCCTATCCCTCCTCTCAGCCCTCTATCAAATGCTCAATACACACACACACACACACACACACACACACACACCCCCTATTTCCTTCTCTTGGCAGTCTCTGAACACCAAGATGACCTCACAACAGTAACTGGAAAAAAAGAAAACATGACAGAATGTGCAAAAGAAGTGGAGACAATGCTCACAGCATAAACCAACTATACTCTCTCTCAAAATGCAGATATATGAAACAAGAATCAAAGAATACTGATTGATTCCATTCATTTGGCAAACATTTACTGAGTGTCTCCTGGGTATGAAACTCCCTTTCACCAAGACAATGACCCTGGCATCAGAAACTAAGGAGGCTCCATTATAAGTTTGCTCTCTGTCTGTCCCTCCACCCTTAACACCCACACATTTTCTTCCTACTTCCGTGACTTTTCTGGTGCTGGTAGCACCTGCCCTCCCAAATTCTCTTAGGTAACCACATCACATTGTCCTGCTGCTTCCACCTGTTGGCTGATCTTACCAAACTGACCAGGAAGTGGTCAAGCCCCATCTTGACAGTGCAGACCCTTCACACCTGCCAGATTCAGCTTTCCAGGTCACAAAACTCCTTGGACACTCCTTCCCCAGTCTTTAAAAGAAAAAGGCCCTCAATTTTCTAAGAGAAAATGAACTCAAGAATGACACACATCCCAAAGGCCACTTTCATCCATCCCTTAATGATGCAATATTATCTTCCCTCTAACATCACAATTATTGATAACTGGGGATTGAACCCAAAATTGCTTAATATTTTGATTGAAAGATCCTTGAAATGAAAGTCCTGTCAACAGTACCATGCTTTGCCTTTATAGGAACCAAATGTTTTCCTATTTAATATCCGTTCTTCTCAAACTGGATGTGAACATTCCCCAGGATAGGCCCGGGGCAGGCTGTCAACAGGGATAAGATGGAGTGCCAGGTGGGAAACAATGCCACAAGTTGGAATAGCACACAATCCTAAAAAGACAATTCTCCCTTCAGAAGAAACTCTATTTTATATTAAAACAAGTTCCCAAATATTCTGTACTAAGATGAACAACTTAATGATTTTTTTTAAAGAAAAGCTCAAGACTTCAAAGAAAATTCTTGCTTGCAGCCATCTGTTGGGCTATGTCCACAATACAGGGAGTTACCTACAAATAACCCTTTTGCCTTTAAATGTGCTTCGATGAAATCATTGGAAAACTGTTTCACCCACACCATGAGCATCTTGAGGACATAAACTACATATCATCCTTCTCTTTGTCCTCAGCAACCTAGTATCTGGCATATAACAGGTAACTAGTAATGTTAGTGGAATAAGTTTGGCTGGAATAATGCCAACAGTATTATCAATAACAAAAGATGTTTTTAAATCACATTTGGATGGCAGGAAAGGAAGTTGAACAGCTGTATGAGGAAGTGAAGTAGAATTAATCCAATTTACCAAAACAGCTGATGGCTGCCATAGCAACAATCTGATGCAGCAACTCGGTTTAGATGTCTTCCACTTGAACATGAGAGAAGACAAATATTGTACTTGTTAGTATCACATCAAGAGGTGAGACTTAGGACACAAGTCTACCACGTGACACCAGTGCCCATTAGAGGTAATAATCTCTGAAGAGTTTGGAAAGGCAACGTGATAATAACAATGCCTAAATAACACCAAGTCCTGGTTTGTAGACTGATCCAGGTCATTTCAATCATTTAAGGTTGTGTGTGAAACATGTTGCTGAGATTAGAGAAGTGCAAAGAACAGTTCCACATGTATGCATACATAACATCCGATATGATGTGGACTCACCCTGCCTCATTCCTAAAATTCTTACTTTTTTTAACCAGCTGTACGCAGACTAAGTTACAGATGAAAGGCGACTAAAAGCAAGAGTATAGGTTGTAGGAATGTTTAAATTTTGCTGCTTCCCTGGTGGGAAGGTAATTCATTTGTAAATGATAGAAAAGATCCTTACACACCCACTTTCTCTACACAGTGAGTCACTCCCCATACCCAGTATTCCCCTTACTTTCCATGCTGGTGGGAGAAACTGGGAGGAGGAGGAAGTGAGGACTTCCAGCCCTGCCAGTCTAAGCTGAGAAGCAGTGAACAAGCACACTGACTACCTTCCAGGGATACGTCCTTTTCAGACTTCCCTCTCAGATGTGCAAACTGCTAACCAAAATGATGCCTTTCAGAGCGTCTTAATAACCACAGCTAGCACTCAATAACATTTCAGATAAAACCCAAACATAAAGCAGAAAAACACGTACAGCACTGAAATGTATGTATCGCTGGGGAATTAAGTGAAAAATGGAAGCTGGAGACGCGCAGGTACCAAGGGATGAACAAATGCAAATGAAGCTCAAAAAAGAAAATCTGAGCCTCTCTCTCTCCAGGCCCTGAAATCCCACCTGTAAGCATCCCCTTACGTCCTGATAATTAAGTCAGTAACTTGATATGTTATTTCTATCGGAGCAATAAGAGCAGAGTATATTGTGTCATTTTATCATTTTATTCCGTCCTATAAAAAGTGAGTTTTTCAGTTCACAAGATGTGGGGTTAACGTTCACATCTTGAACTGGGCAAGTCCCTTAAGGTCTAATTTCTAGGTCTAAGTTCAGAAATAAGCGAGCCTACCTTCTAGGGATGCCCTGAAAATTAAAGGTGTGAACTCTGTAAAACGCCTAGCAGGTGCATCAATGAATATTTGTGTCCAACAATATAAATGCCCAACAAAGCTTCCTTTTCTACAGTCTTAGGAAAACAACAAATCAGAAAACTATTACAGAGGACGCCAAACTGGCAAACAGCCTGGGCCCCAGCCCTGGTGTAGAAGGTGATGTAACCAGGACGCGTTGAGATGGTGGGGCGCGCGCATAAATCCGCGCGGGCCGCCAGCGGCTACAGATTTCAGGAGGGCTTCAGTATTAACTGGAGCCCGGTTAATTACAGGCTCAGGATTCAACGCTTAAAACTTTCGCCCCAGGCCGGGCGCGGTGGCTCAAGCCTGTAATCCCAGCACTTTGGGAGGCCGAGGCGGGTGGATCACTTAAAACTTTCGCCCCAGACCCGGCGCGGTGGCTCAAGCCTGTAATCCCAGCACTTTGGGAGGCCGAGGCGAGTGGATGACGAGGTCAAGAGATCCAGACCATCCTGGTCAACATGGTGAAACCCCGTCTCTACTAAAAATACAAAAAATTAGCTGGGCATGGTGGCGCTTGCCTGTAATCCCAGCTACTTAGGAGGCTGAGGCAGGAGAATTGCCTGAACCCAGGAGGCGGAGGTTGCGGTGAGCCCCGAGATCGCGCCATTGCACTCCAGCCTGGGTAACAAGAGCGAAACTCCTCTCAAAAAAAAAAAAAAAAAACTTTCGCCCCAAACACTGACTCTCTGATTAACTTTTCTTAACTCTAGGAGATCTCGGAAAAGTCAAAGCGAGCACCTCACAGAGAAGAGTAGAGTGCACTGGATCTACACACAGGCAATTAAGTGCCAGAAAGAAAGCAGGAAGCTCCAGGATCACCTCCCGCCCCTAGCCCACACTCGCACCTGGGGATGAACTTGGCTTCCTCCCCGAGTCGCGCCTGGAAATCCTGCCAAGCCCGGCCGGGACTCTCCGGGCCCCACGAGGTGGCCAGCGCCGCCGCCGCCGCCGCCGCGTCCTCGTCGCCCTCGTCCTCCTCGCCGTCCGGTGTCTCCAGCCCCGCCTCGGCCACCGCCGGCGCGGGATCCCGCGGACTGCAGCCCCGGCGGAGGGCCCCGCGGAAGCCGCGCGCGAACTCCTGGAAGGTGATGGCGCCGTCGCGGTCGGCGTCCAGCCGCTGGAATACGGCCTCGGCGTCGGCCGGCCGCACCCGCAGCTCAGCGCACAGCGCCCCAAACTCCTCGCGCTCCAGGCGTCCCGAGCGGTTAGCGTCGCAGGCGGCGAAGACGGAGCGCAGCCGGGCCAGCTCCTCTCGGTCCCCGTCCGCCTCCATCCCGCCTGGCGGGGGCGGCCGAGAGGGCTCCGGAGCGCCACCGGGCGCACGGCCCTCCCGGGAAGTCCGGGGCCACCTGCTGCCGCCTGGAGGCCCGGCGAGTTTGGCTCGTCGGGCTGGTTTGGTCACTTGAGGGAACGTCCGGGCGGGGCCAGAACGTCGGGGGTGGCCGGACGGCTCCCTTCGATGCCGGTGCGTGCAGGGCACGGGAGCCGTGAGGTGCGCTCGAGCTCCGGGCACCTCGAAGCAGCCGCTCCCGCGACTGAGCGCCCGCGCGCCGCGGTAGCCCTCACTACTCTCGCGGCAGGTGCGGCTCCGCCCAGCCAGGGAGGAGGAGCGCGCGGCTCCGACTCTCTGGTCCCCACGCCCCGGAGCCCGCCGCTGCTTTCCGGGCAGAAAGGGGAGACCAGGCCGCAACGGGGGTGCGGCGGGAGCGTTGCCCTTCGGGGTAAGCGCTGCTCGGGTAGAGCCCAGCGCTCCGCTTCCCCACACCAGGCGCCGGCAGTAACCGGACAGAGGGAGATAAGGTAGGTAAGGTTAGGATTCCGAATGGGTTAAGTGCATTTTATTCTCCTATTCCCGAAAACTGGTCAACTTCTTTATATACAATTTTCTTACAAATCAAAGTACAAGATTTACCGGAAGACCCCATTCTCAATTTTACTGGCTTTTGTTAACGCATTTTTGTGCGTCTAATGTTAAGGTCCCACTGCTTAATTAAACACAGATCTTCCAGATCTCCAAATCCACATTTTTTTCTCAATCCTCGTCTCCTAAACCTGAGAAAAAGTAAATTAAATCGCTTGGCAGGCAGCATTGTGTAGACAAAGACTGGGGTGGTTTGGGAGGTTTTTTTCTTTAAACAAACTTTAAATTATTTTTTTGTTGACATCGTTTCTTTAACACTGACTGCTTAATGGATAGGAGATTTTAAAAATCTATCCATTTTGATCCTTTTAAACACTTCTGTCCTTCAGTTTCTAGGAGACCCTCAGTCTGTCATATGGCTTATGTAACCGTGCCTTTAGGTGTTTCTCATGACCTGTAAAGATACATTTGGGTCATTTTTACTTTATTCACATTATCCATTTCCTCCACATTTTAGACTTTCTGACTCTATATTTTCCTTTCATCTCATTCTGGATTCTATTTATCGTTTATTACTTTGATTTCTTAAAAATATGATCATTAAGTAAGGGCTACTACTGACACATTCTCCCCAGGCTACTGGTCTTGCATATAAAGCTAAGTGCTAAACATCTGAGGAACTGTTTCCTCTTGAATTGTACAATAAACATGATCAACGCTAACAGCTTCTATTAAACTGTAACTACTGCTGATAACCCCCATCTGCAAATTTAACTGGTAAATTATGAGAGGCATTCCGTTGGAAGTCCTGGTCTTGGCAACCTAATTGGTAAGTGAATATGGTTTTATACAGTTCGACAGCTAATACATTGAAATGAATCTTATCGGCTGGGCGCGGTGACTCAAGCCTGTATTCCCAGCACTTTGGGAGGCCGAGGTGGGTAGATCACAAGGTCAAGAGATCGAGACCATCCTGGTCAACATGGTGAAACCCCGTCTCTACTAAAAATACAAAATATTAGCTGGGCATGGTGGCGCGTGCCTGTAATCTCAGCTGCTCAGGAGGCTGAGGCAGGAGAATTGCCTGAACCCAGGAGGCGGAGGTTGCGGTGAGCCGAGATGGAGCCATTGCACTCTAGCCTGGGTAACAAAAGCGAAACTCCGTCTCAAAAAAAAAAAAAAAAAAAAGAAATGAATCTTATCATTAGTGCAATATAAGTTGTTATTGATTTTGAGCTTATGTGCTTTCCTATTTTAAAGATTGGTTTTTCCATATGAACTAAAAGGTGGCCAGCTTGATGATGCCTTTAAAACTTTACAAATATACTTATTAAATTAAATATTTGAACTATTATTATCTTTATATTGTTTGCAATTAATGAATATGACTTTCAAAACAGATGAGTTCTAATGTTTTTAACTGCTTAGGCAGAAGTGCTTTTTTGAAGAATGCTTGCACAACTTTATGCCTAAATTTTCACTCTGACCTTTGTGCTCATTATTTCTGAATTTTTATGTTCTATGACCTGCTTTGCCCTTTCACTAAGCCCCTTCATTGAAGAGTCATCAAGAAACACAAATTGGCTGGGCACAGCAGCTCACACCTGTAATCCCAAGCACTTTGGGAGGCCGAGGTGGGTGGATCACTTGAGGTCAGGAGTTCGAGACCAGCTTGGCCAACATGGTAAATCCCCGTCTCTACTAAAAATATAAAAAATTAGCCAGGCATAGTGGGCACCTGTAATCCCAGCTACTTGGGACACTGAGGCAGGAGAATCGCTTGAACCCAGGAAACAGAGGTTGCAGTGAGCCAAGATCACGCCACTGCACTCCAGCCGGGGTGACAGAGCCAGACTATATCTCAAAAAACAAACAAAAAAAAAAACCAGGAATTATTCCAAATGTCTTATGCATGCATTTTCTTATTTCTACCAATATTAATATACTTCAGACCTACGGTATCAGTTTTTTATCACTGCATAATAACAATAGTGATTTTAAAGAATTACCATTTTATTTGTTCATAATACCATTATCATCAATTTGGACAGGGTTCAGCTAGGTGGTTTGTCTGCTAGCTTACCTGGGATCTCTTAGGTGATTTTCTTGTTGACTCAGCTGGAGCTGGATGCTTATAGAGCCTCACTCTTTTTTTTTTTTTTGAGACGGAGTTTCACTCTTTTGTTACCCAGGCTGGAGTGCAATGGCACGATCTCGGCTCACCTCAACCTCCACCTCCTGGGTTCAGGCAATTCTCCTGCCTCAGCCTCCTGAGTAGCTGGGATTACAGGCATGCGCCACCATGCCCAGCTAATTTTTTGTATTTTTAGTAGAGACGGGGTTTCACCATGTTGACCAGGATGGTCTCGATCTCTTGACCTTGTGATCCACTCGCCTCGGCCTCCCAAAGTGCTGGATTACAGGTGTGAGCCACCGCGCCTGGCCTGAGCCTCACTCATTTTTTTGGAAGTTGGTGCTGGCTGTTGACGGAGCCATGTGTCTTCAGGAAGCTAGCATGGGTTTTGTCACATGGTGGCAGTGTTCCAAGTGAGTTTAAGCACCAGTGCACAAGTATTTTTCAGGCTTCAGCTTGTGTCATATTTGCTGATATTCCATTGACAAGTTTCATTGGCAAGTCACATGGCCAAGCCCTAAGTCACTGTGGGAAGGGACTACAAAAAAAACGGGGATACAGAGAAATAGAGGCTCTTACTGTAACAATAGACAACACCTAGGGTAAAGGGACAGCCTCTGATATATTCTGCTAGACTCTTGTCCTGCCGTCCTCCTGTTTATTCTACACAACCACAACTGGGCAGTCCTTCTTAAACACCAGTTATTCTTTCTCCAGCTCTTTAATTCTCAATCAGGTAATAATTTTGTTTCCCAGGAGACATTTGGCAGCCTGATGACATTTTTGGCTGTCTTAATTTGAGAAGGAGGAGATGCTCCTAGCATCTAGTAGATAGCTACAGGGATGCTGCTGACTATCCTACAATGCACAGGCCAGAGCCTCCCCTCCTTCCCATTACAAAGAATTATCTGGCCAAAAATGTAAATTGTGCTGAGGTTGAGGAAGCCTGTACCCTAACTCATAAACCCCCAGTGGTGCTCCAATACAAAGAGAACTAAAGATAAATGCTTCGTCTGAGCATCCAAAACTCTCTGTAATTCGGTCCCACCACATAGATCAAATATTTCACACTTTAGTCTCCATCAGGGCTTCTACTGTCCCCAAATAAGCCACACTTCATCACATGATTAAGTTAATAGCTCCTCATTATCAGGAAAAATGTAAATATCAAGCAGATCTTTTAGCTTTTCTCTCTTCTGTCTAACCAGACCATTTCCCAGCTTCAGTAAAAGAATTGGATCCTGCTTTTCTACAAAAGTTTGCACAACTGCATTGTGACCTGCCACTCACAAATACATCACTTAGTCTGTATGTCAGTTCAGGTATCAGGCAGCAGGAATGTTTTTTAATAACCCCGGCAACATACTCAGGGGATAGCCACGGTCATATAATCTGTCTCTAATTATTTTCAAGAAATAGAAAAGACAGAAAAAAGAAATAGGAGGTACTTCTTTTTTATTTTAGCATTCAGAAGCAGCTAGCCAGGAACTGGAGATAACAGAGCAGCCTTTGAGAGCCAGTGAATTAGTAGGTAAGGAGAGCTTGCCCATGGTTGTCAGCATGACTTAAAAAGATCAGCTTCCTCTCTGGCTGCTCAGAATTTTAAGAATCAGAGATAATCTTGTTATAGCCTGTTTTTCAAAGGAGTGGAAAGGTATCTTTGGAAAAAAATAGTTTTGTCATCAGTTACATTTGTAAAACACAAATAAATTTGAGAAAGAATCCTATATTCTTTTGAAACAAAGCTGTTCGATCGAATACTTCCTAAATGTATTTGACTATGGTAACTTTGACTTTTGGGTTTTGGTTTGGTTTGGTTTCAATTTCCATGAGCTTTCCACAGACTTAGTGCACTTCTTTAGGAGACCTCATGTTAGACAATGACTAGGCTGGTGAGTCATGAGAAGTGATCCCTTGCCACTACACCGTAAATTGGACCAACTTCCCATAATGGGAATGAGCACACCACTTTAACCTGCTTTTCATCTGGTAAGTGGGAAAAGCTTATAGTGGAAGCCTATTGTAATCCACCCTGTAAGATTTCCTTCAGGAGCAAGAGCGTTCCTCAGAGCATGACTTAATACTGCAGTTACTTTGCCCCAGAAAGACCCGAAATGCCATTTAAAATGGAACTAGAGATCTTAGTAATGGCATACCACTGAGGCACCAGCTAGGAGGTTCAGAAACACTCTGAAACGTACATAGCCCTGTAAGACCTTGAGTCTTAGTTTTCTCATGCATATATATACTCAGGACTTACCATTCCTAAGGAGGTTACAGGAAAATTGTTGGAGATTTTGCAAAAAGGAATGTGTCAGCAAACTTGTATCATAGTGATCTACTTTCCCTTTATGTAAAGCATGAAAAAAGAGAAAGTAATAACATATATTCCTATCCATAATTAGCAAGTTTGAACATCCTGTCCTGTTTGCTTCCGATCTATTTTTTTAAAGAAAGCATCATAGACCCAGTTGAACTTCCCCTTTGCTGCATATTGTTTCTATAATTAATATTTAGCATTGTTGTCTATGTGTTGTGTTGGCAGTTATCAGACTTTGGTAAATCTTTCATTTGAGAAAATTATGTATTTCTGTAATGCTCCAAACAATATGAAATACCATTTCATGTCTTGAACCAGAGCAGAGTTGGCATTCATTATTAGAACTGAGCAAGAAGTGTTGCATTTCAAACTTCTGATCCCATTTTGTGATAACTAAGCAAAACTCATGTCATTTTTCCACATGAGCAAACTGTGTGTCTCGTCCATCATGCTCCTCTCAGTTAAGACAAAAGTCTGTGTTTTTAATTTATTAATTATTGATGTATTTATTTTTTGTAACAGGGTCTCACTCTCATGCAGGCTGGAATGCAGTGGTGTGATTACAGCTCATTGCAGCCTCGACCCCCCTGGGCTAGATGATCCTCCCATCTTGGCTACTGGAGTCAATGGGACTACAGGCACGCACCACTATGTCCCAGCTAAATTTTCTTGTATTTTTTTGCAGAGTTGGGATTTCTCCATGTTGCCCAGGCTAGTCTCAAACTCCTGGGCTGTAGATTTGCCTGCCTCAGCCTTCTGAAGTCCTAAGATTACAGGCATGAGCCACCATACCCAGCTGCTATTTTATATTATATATGCAAGAAGTAGAGAAATCAAATCTAATAAAAATACATGAACCTCAGTTCACTTTTGGACAGCAGAAAAAGCAAATGGTGGTAAGCAGAATTCTACCCCATTCCTAGGCACCCCAGTTCCTACCCCTTGATGTACATGCTCTGCATAATCCCCTTTGAAGTGAACAAGACCTGTGAACATGATGGGATAATCACTTCTGTGATTACAGTATGTTATATGATTCCATTTCCCTCCTGGCTTTGAAGAAGTGAGCTGCCATGTCATGAGAACACCAGGTGGCTAGAACCTGAAGATAGACCCTAAGGAGCTGAGGATGTTACCCTGCTGACAGCCAGCAAGAAATGGGTACCTCAGCCCTGTAACTGCAAGGAATTGAAACCTGCCAACAACCTCTGTGAGCTTGGAAGAGGACCTAAGCTTGTGATGAGAACACATCCCCAGCTTGAAATCAGATCTACATATTGATTTTAGCATTGTGAGCTACTGAGCTGAGAACCCATTTCAGCTGTTTCTGGATTTCTGAACTACAGAACTAAGATGACAAAAGGGTAGTGTTTTAAGTTGCTAAGTTTGTGGTCATTTGTTTACAGCAATTGTAAACTAATACAGAAGTGTACGTTTGTTTTCTTAAGGGAGAAGGAGGTAAGTGTTGAAGGATCGAAACTCTGACAAAAGGCTGGTTGCAGAACATGACAGGTTGTTGTGCAGGAAACTATCATGCAAGTTTATGTTAAAATAGAGTAGCTTTTGAGGACTTTCATTTTTGGTATTGTAAACATAAGTCATTTAATATTGTCTAACTGTAACTGATAATACCTTTTGCAAAAAGAAACTGTAAAACTTTCGTTTTACTCAGAAGTAATGGTGCAGCCATAGAGATGGAGAATCCTCAGTTCTAAGAAAAAAAAAAAGATGAAAATAAAGGAACACAGATTATCTGGAGTGGATACAGCTGAGCATGGATTCTAAGCATGATAAATGCATGAAAAGTCTTTCAAATAACCTGGACTATGACTAGTACTTATTGTTTCTTAAAGGAGAAATATAGTATCAAACGCGAAATTACAAGTCTGTTTTTAGAATTTGTCACCTGTCTGTGTTTAGTGAGGGGATGTTGAGAATATCTAAAGTTTAAAACCAGCTGTATTCCAAAGGAAAGGATGTTGGTCCTTTGAGAGATACCAGATGTCAGTAAATCCAGCTCACCACCCACTATTGTAGGGCCCATTCACTGAAATGCTTTTTATGTTTTAAAAAAAGCAAAAGAAACATTTTAGAATATGTGAAATTATATGAAATTCAAATTTCAGTGTCCATAAAGCTTTATTGTAACACAGTCACACTCATTAGCTTTTATGTTGCAAGAAAATGGCTGAGAAGCTGTGACACACATATGGCCTGCATAGCCTAAAATATTTCCTCTCTGCTCCTTTACAGAAAGTTTGTCAACCCTGCAATGTAGGAAGAAGGGAAGGATGAACACATTTCATGTATTCTTATAGCACAAGCTAACTTTATGTATTGGCAAGGAATCTTTTTTTTTTTTTTTCTTTTGAGACGGAGTTTTGCTCTTGTTACCCAGGCTGGAGTGCAATGGCACCATCTCCGCTCACCGCAACCTCCGCCTCCTGGGTTCAGGCAATTCTCCTGCCTTAGCCTCCTGAGTAGCTGGGATTACAGGCACGTGCCACCATGCCCAGCTAATTTTTTTTTTTGTATTTTTAGTAGAGACGGGGTTTCACCATGTTGACCAGGACGGTCTTGATCTCTTGACCTCATTATCCACCTTCTTATTTTCAAACCAGTCTTTTACCTGCAGCACCTCTAAAATGTGTTTAAACCAGTTAGAAACATAGTAACCACATCGTAGGGAAAGAAGTGATCACAAGGAAATGGTGGTAGAATGCCAGAAGACTGGAAATTCTATTAATAATAACTTACTTAAAATTTTAAAAATAAGTAAATACCAACTGACCATCATCTGCATAACCTTATGCAATTTTGTCTGATTAAGCTTTTCAGTTTCTTAATATTATAGATGGATCCTATGATCAATTCTCCTTAAGGAGTATTAATTTTGCCTTTGTGAAGTATTGGTAGGCCTCTTTTTGGATGGCAGAAAGGACCGTGATGTTTATTTTGTTCCCCATGTTGCCTTACCTTCCAGCAAATTCCAACTTACAGTCTGAATAGAGTCTGTATAGACGTCTAGTGTTAAACAGCGTTTCTCAGCTTAACCCCAGTTCTATTTATATTCTTTCTCTAACTGGCTTCCAATCAACTTTTTCTTAATATAATTTTGAATTGCTCAGTTGTATGTGGGTGCATGTATATGTTTTTACCTATAAAAAGTCTCAAAGTCTTTTTGAAAGTAGCCAGGGTTTAAACATTATAATTATAAACAACTCTTAGGCAGTTATGCTCATTTTAATATTAGAACTATTGGAATGATAGGCATGGCAGCGTTCCCTTGTTCTTGATTTACTATTTTATGGCTGCTTAGGACACACGCACTCTTTCTTAAGCACATATTCTAACTAAAGACAAATTATATTCTGAGACCACAATAGATTTCTTCTTAGGAAAGCCTATTAATTTGATCAAAACACTCAAAAATTTATTTTAACTCTAGGGGATATAATATATACATCATTAGATCAGAGATACATTCATAGTAATTCAAAATAACGGAGAAATATACATTTTCTATGTGACATGAAAGTAGTTACCAATGCTATAAGATGGAGAGATGTTAAAATAGTCAACTATTTTTTAGACAAAAAAAGATTAAAACTCCTGTTCCCAGAAGTACAAAATGATACAAACTAGGTAAGTCAGAAAGAGATCTAAAAAAATTCTAAAGCCATTCCTAGTCCTTTGGAAAGCATTATATAATTCAGTATTTAAAAGATGAGATATTCAAACAAATCTCTTTTTACCAATACCTTTGAGTCTTAGATTAACAATGAACCAGGACAGTAATTTTTCACTAATGTAGTAATTAGAAATACAGAATCAAGGTTTCTAATGATATTACATGAATTCCTTGATTTTGCAAGTCTTTAATATCAAAGAAGATAGGTGGATAAATGGAGGGCTAGTTAAAAAAATAAAAAAGAGGAAGAGGTCACATTTGCCACAAAATGAAGTCGTAGAAAAAGACAGATTCTTTCCCTCCCAACATATTTTGTTGAGAATGCCACTGATTTTTAAAGACAAGTAGATTTTATTATGTCCTTTCAGTTCTCAGTTGATGTTTTCCAGCAATAAACAAATTATTGGTTAATTTTTCCAGATGACATTTACAATTGACAAACCAAATTTTCTCAAATTGTTCTATTATTTTGTTTGTTTTGAAATCTAGTAAGGCCCAGAGTGCCCTACAGAAGTGTTTGCTCAATGGATTCCCCAATTTTATGAAAGATTCATTACAAAAGCCTCAGATTTTACTCAAAGAGTCTAGATTTCACAGAGCAGAGTAAGACTACTCACATAACTTTTGAAATATAGTATACCTGAAATGCTAACATCAACTTTGACAGGTCCTGAATTTTTTCCCCATTAGCTTATTGTATAATTCTGATAAATGGTATTCCAAAATCAAAAGTCACCCATGACTGACAGGTTTTTAGTTTTAATTTTTTCCAAATATTTTTCACTTTGGAATTTTTACATGAATTCCAAAGTACAGAGAAACTAATGTATTTTATGCTACTGGAAAAGTCATGACAACTTGGTTTATCCTTAAATGAAATACCAGAAGCTATATTCTGGGAAATATTTAATGATTGCTACAACTCTGTGTTAATAAAATGGAAACAACCATGAGGGCTTATGAAGAAACACAAACCAGTACACAGCGAATGTCGGGGATCCTCTTCGCTTTACGATGACATATAAGACTCAAAGGGACACAAGTGGGCACAATCAACATTCTCTTACTGTCTACAATTTTTGCAAAGTTTTTCAACTGCATCCAGGGTGACATTCTTACAGAAACTGAGTTTTACATATTCCAAACAAGTATGACGATAAGCCACTGAACAACCTCTAAATAGGAAAAAGAGGATGAAAAAGTTATTAGAATCAGTCATTAAATATACTTTTTACAAATAGTTTCTTGAATTTTACCCTCAAACTTACCTTAGCCCTGACATATCACAAACCTTCCCCTCCCCTACCAGAGTGAAAATACAAATTGAACTTACTAAATACACGTTTTAAGACATTTGATAAAATGTCCCGACTGCAAAAATCAGGCATAAAAGGAAAACACTGGGGAAAAATCAAGCAGAAAAAGAGACAACGATCTAAAGACATCTGAGTTTCATTTTGAGATTATTAAAGAAATATTCCAGAGAATTATTACAGTGTTATCATTGTGATGTGTATTTAATAACGAGGTGAAAATAATCATTATCTTAACCTCTGGCACCAGAATTACTCATGGGAGGGAACCATCTGTTTTGGATAATACTGTGACACGTTAATTTTGCTCACAAATGAACTAGAAGAGCCTGATTAACATTAACCAGGTAGGAGGGAACAGCAGCCCAGGAAACAAGGGAGGATGGTGGGGAGAGGGAGACAGGAGAACTAAGTTCACTCCAGAATTTGTTAAAATCAGAGACATGGAATTTTGATCCTCTTAAGCAAATGTTTACCTTTATTTCGAGTCAAAAAGGCCTCTTTTGGGATAAGGGATCTCTGTATAACCTGAATCACTAGTTCTCAAAGGATATTTCCTGGGCCAGCAGCATCATCACCACCTGGGAAATTGTTAGAAACTTCGAAGTCTCACCCTCAACCCACTGAATCAGAAACGGGGGGGCTCACTAATCTGTGTTTTAACAAGTCCCCAGGTGATTTTTGATGCAGATAAAACTTGAGACTCACTGACCTCAAACGATAGTTTGCAGCTGTCAAAGTAAGTTAAAATGGAGGCCAGGCCTGAGGAATCCCCAAGCAGGCAAAGCCAGTTAGTCCTCATAAGTGACCTCGGCCTTCCTTGATTTGCGAATATAAGCAAAACCTAACTTGAGCCATTTCTTGTAAACACCTGTGTTAAACAGAAATGAGGCCAGGCACAGTGGCTCACACCTGTAATCCCAGCACTCTGGGAGGCCCAGCACTTTGGGAGGCCAAGGCGGGTGGATCACCTGAGCTCAGGAATTTGAGACTGGCCTGGCCAACATAGTGAAACCCATCTCTATAAAAATTAGTCGGGCGTGGTGGCATGCATCTGTAGTCCCAGCTACCTGGGAGGCTAAGGTGGGAGAATCGTTTGAACCCAGGTTGCAGTAAGCAGAGATTGTGCTGCTGCACTTCAGCCTGGGCAACGGAGCTAGACCCTGTCGAGAGAGAGAAGGGGTGGGGGGAGAGAGAGAGAGAGAGAGAATGAATAAAACTTCAGGCTAACCAATAAGAAGCTGCCAACTAACTTTTAGCTATAGTACTAGAAATTTCCCAGCGGGTTATATTTGCATTTCTCTAACAATCAGTGATATTCAACTTTTTTTCATATGCCTGTTGGCCACATGTGTGTCTTCTTTTGAGAAGTGTCTGTTCATGTCCTTTGCCCACTTTTTAATGTGGTTCTTTGTTTTTCTCTTATAAATTTGGTAAGTTCCTTACAGATGCTAGATATTTGGCCTTTGTCAGGTGTATAGTTTACAAATATCTTCTCCCATTCTGTAGATTGTCTGTTTACTCTGTTGTTAGTTTCTTTTGCTGTGCAGAAGCTCTTAAGTTTAATTAGATCATATTTGTCAATTTTTGCTTTTGTTGTGGTTGCTTTTGGTGTCTTTGTCATGAAATCTTTGCCCAATCCTAGGTCCAGAATAGTTTCCCTAGGTTGTCTTCCAGGGTTTCTATAGTTTGGAGTTTTACCATTAGGTCTTTAATCCATCTTGAGTTGATTTTTGTATAGCGTGTAAGGAAGAGGTCCAGCTTCAGTATTCTGCTTATGGCTAGCCAGTTAGCCCAGCAACATTTATTGAATAGGGAGTCTTTTCCCATTGCTTGTTTTTGTCAGTTTTGTCAAAGATTTTAGATGTGTGGCCTTATTTCTGGGCTCTGTATTGTGTTCCTTTGGCCTATGTGCCTTTGTACCAGTACCATGATGTTTTGGTCACTGTAGCCTTGTAGTATAGTTTGAAGTCGGGTAACACTACACACTTAAACAACCAGATCTCTCAGAACTCACTCGGTATCAAGAAGACAGCACTAAACTATTGAGGTATCTGCTTCCATGACCCAAACACCACCCACCAGGTCCTACTTCCATCATTGGGGATTACAGTTCAACATGAGATTTGGGCATAGACAAATATCTAAACTATGTCAACAGTCTTGTGATATGATGATTAAAAAAATACTCATGTCAGAGAATCATCCTCAAAGATCCCACCAACCTTAACAAATTATATGTCTAGCAACAAATTGTTTAAAATAAGTGTATAGGTAGAAAGGTTAAAAATCTCATTAAGCAACATTTTTAATTTGCTACTGGTTGGATTTCCTAAAAATTATAATTCTGAATAAACAAAAGGCATATTCAGTACCATATCTGTGCCCTCCAAAAGCATGAGCATCTAAAACTCTTCTGTTAAGCTAGTTACCAAAAATTATGGAGCTGTAGGAAGACAGGTGAGAGTGGAGAACAGGAAGAAAGTGATAGAAATGAGGGGAAGTAGGTTTGTACCACACATATTTCCACTTCCCAGACCTGTTATATAAAGGAGACAGTCATGCATCACAAGTGGTAATAATGGAAATATAAGAGAGTCCCATACAGATATGGCTGTGCCAACATCAAAGGCAAAGGAACTTTCATAGTTAAATCCTATGTATGATGACCTTTGCCCACCCCTGCAAGATGATAGAGCCAGATAGTATAGTGGCCCATACACACTGTCAAAGATAGCCTGGGTTAGATTTTGAAAATTTCACATAGCATACTATGGAGGGTACTTCATAAAGGTGACAACAGCATGGAAAACTTCCAAGGACTTTCCCTAAAAGAATTATTCAGGTGTCAGTAATAGAACACATGTATCTAATAAGTCTATTCCTCTCAATGCTAAAAATAAATTATACATACATAAAACATTTCTTTCCCATCTTTAAAAATGGACATTTTCTTTAATTTCTGTTAATAACAGAAAAATTTCATGGTACTATCTCTAAGTACTGAAATTCTGGTATCTCATTGGGTTCCAGTGAGTCATTAGACTGGTGCAATCTGGGAAATAAATCTTCCCTGCAATAATTATGAAAATACAAAATTCTTGGTAGCAGAAAGTGAAACCCTAGTGGTCCAGACCAAGATCACGGTTGGGACTAGCTGGCTAAAGATGAAGCCTCGGACCAGAAACACAGTGGCGCAAATGAATCCAGACACATTTGTCTACAACTTTTATAATAGACACATCCTTTCTCATTGGAATAACATCAGGCTGTGCTATGAAGTGAAAATGAAAACAAAGGACTCCTCAAGGCCCCTTTTGGTTGCAAAGACCTTTCAAGGCGAGGTCTATTCCAAGCTTCAACACCACCCAGAGATGAGATTCCTTCATTGGTTCCTCAACTGGAAGCTGCATAGCGACCAGGAGTACAAGGTCACCTGGTTTGTATCCTGGAGCCCCTGCCCAGTGTGTGCAAGGAATGTGACCAAGTTCCTGGCCGAGGACAGTAAGGTCACCCTGACCATCTTCGTGGCCCGACTCTACTCCTTCTGGGACCCTCATTACCGTGAGGAGCTTCACAGACTGTGTCAGAAAAGAGACAGTCCGCATGCCACCATGAAGAGCATGAATTATGGCAAATTTCAACACTGTTGGGACAAGTTCCTGTACAACCAAAGATTGTACAAGCCTTGGAATAAGCTGCCTAAACATTATACATTACTGCGCATGATGCTGGGGGAGGTTCTCAGACACCTGATGGATCCAGGCACATTCACTTACAACTTTACCAACGACCTTTCAGTCCTTGGACAGCACCAGATCTACTTGTGTTACGAGGTGGAGCACCTGCACAATGGCACCTGGGTCCTGCTGGACCTGTACAGAGCCATCATACTCAACAAGGCTTCAAATAATTCCAGTTTCCCTGAAGGCCACCACGCAGAGCTGTGCCTCCTGGACCTAATTTCCTTTTGGAAGCTGCACCCAGCCCAGTGCTACAGGGTCACCTGCTTCATTTCCTGGAGCCCCTGCTTCAGCTGTGCCCAGGAGGTGGCTAAATTCCATCAAGAGAACCCACACATGAGCCTTTGCATCTTCTCTGCCTGCATCTATGATTATCAATGAAGATATAAAAAGGGCCTGCACAGGCTGGACAAAGCTAGGGTCCCAATTTCCATGATGAAATACAATGAGTTTAGGCACTGCTGGGACACCTATGTGGATCACCAGGGACACGCCTTCCAGCCCTAGGAGGGACTAGATGAGCACAGTCAAACCCTGAGTGGAAGGCTTCAGGCCATTCTTCAGAATTAGGGAAACAGATGGATGAGCCTCAGTCTCTAAGGAAGCAGAGACCTGGGTTGAGCAGTGGTATAAAAGATCTTCCAAGAAATGCAAGCAGGCCATTCACCACCATCTCCAGCTGATCACAGATGCCAGCAAAGCAATGCACTCCTGACCAAGTAGATTCTTTTAAAAATTAGAGTGAATTACCTTTAATCAAAAATTTATGTGCTACAGTAGTAAGACTGTGCTCAATATACTCAGAAAAGTTTCAAGCCTACTAATCCAGTGACAATTTGAATTAGTGTTATATGTAGAATAATACAATCAAATACTAAATATTTTCATATATTAAAAAAAAGGACAAATTCTTCATAATGAGTTTACTCAAACTTTTTTTGCTTTTTAAAAAATATATTAGTAAAAGAAACAATAACCACCTTTTCTTAAGTTAGTACATGAGCTTATGTACAATAAATAATGCATATTCTTTGGAATAAAGAAAAACTCAAGAGCATTATGAAAAACAATGCCTAACATAGAATGCTGTCTCTGTGCCAGGCCCCTAAGACCTTTTCTGTATTAGCTCACTTCATCCCCGCAATCATCCTAAGGCAGGTGCTATCATCTTCATGTTACTGATGAGGAAACCGAGGCACAGAGAGGCTTGACTGACCTATCCAAGGTCACACTGACAATTAAAGAGCTGGACTTGGACCAGGGACTCTGTCTCCAAAGTTCACATTCCAAAGCAATTCTTCTTGTCAAAGTAAATAAAACAGATGCTTCAGACTTGTGCAAACTTGAAATGAGTCTTTTCCTGAACATTTTAGTTAAAAATCATATTGCTTCACGCTGAAAAAAGTAATTTGCCTCTGATTCTTGATAGTCTGTTAGTAAATAAGTAGACATGACTGTTTTTTGTTGTTGTGTTTTATAATTGTTCATTTCTGGCCTAAACAATAGTATAAAAATCTTGCGATGGCACCACAGGATGGAGACGCTGGTTTCTATTGAGTATTTTTATGAACATAAGAATGATGTTCCAGGTTTTCTTCCAAGGAAACCAATTCCGTCATGTGAGGAAGGCCACTAGGAAAGGCTTTATATATCTGTAATACATTTCTCTCAAAGTATTCAACCACCACTGGAAGTTCCCATCACTTTTAGAATAGAACATTCTTTTCTTCATAATAGAGTAAATCCTGCTAGGCCAGCCAAGCTCAGGAGGTATCATTGCTCTGCAAGTTTTAGTAAAACAAGGAGATACTAGCATCTCCAAGTACCTGTCATGTATTTACCGACATGACCACCTCTCTATAAATTAAATTCCTGAAGTACAGGCTTGGGCACAATAAACAGTGCAATGTAACTGGTTTTGAATTCATATTCCAGTCAATTAAATGTTGTATGTAAGACATGGAATTAAAATGTAAATGGAAAATACTGAGGAGGCATAAGTCACGTAATCCTATAAGAGAGTGCCAGGAGAGCTAACAAAAAAATGGGGATGTTGCCATAGTTACCAGGAAATGTAGCCTAGACACCAGGGTCAGTAAGAGATTGAAAATGTGGCAAAATAAGCTCTGAAGGCTGGAGTTATTCTCTTTTCTGTACTTAATTAGTATGACCTTGGCCCTTGGACCCAAGCCAGGATGGAAAAAACAATTCTCGTTCTGCTGGTTGGAAATAATCCATGCTTAGGAAGTTTTCTTTTTGCAGCCTCTGCTGCACTTCAGTGTAGAGACACAGCCTCCTTCTAAAATGAAGATAATTTCCTAATTAGCGAATGAACCTGACCTATCTGTCACTCGTGAAGCCCACTACCGTTGGTATCCCCTGGAGAACCATGGTTCTAGCTGAATAACAATGCTTGATTAGCCCTATGTCACCCAGGGGAGCTACTATTATCCCAGCAGATGAAATTGGTAGTACAAATCTAACAGTAGTTTTATCATTTGCACCAGTACGTCCTATATCACTTTTTTCTTCATTGTACTTCAGTCAGATTTAAAAGTGAAATTCAAATATTTGTAGTAGACTGATTAAAGGGATTATAACCAGAGCTTTTATCCAGATATTTCCAGATGCAAGACAAAAGGAACAAAGGCAGAAAGAAAGAGAGAGAAACAGGCAAACTTTGAACTGTAACAGGGTTTAAACACAGGTAAGAAGTTAGGCCTAAATTAAAACAGGACTTCAAGGCCACAATGAAGTAAAAAGATTATATTTCCCTTTCTATTTTTTTTGACAGTTTTTCTCATATAAAAGTTTACTGGACTCTGTCAAGTTTACTGTGTCTACCAACTGCTACATAAATTATGAAGGTGGTAATGAATAGAACTGTTAATTAGAAAGAGGGATGACATTGGTGAGTAGAAAACAAAGGCAGAAGCTTGTGAGGTTGATAAATCTAAGATCATGGGCCCAGTGATCTGTAAGTACGGAGGCATATATATGTAGCAAACATACCTGTAGTAAATGAGCAGAAATTACATGGGTAGTTCGAATTCATACCTATTCATTATTGCCCTACTTCCATTCAGATCCATTTCTGTCCCCTCTGTCTAATATGTATGTAGTACCCCAGCAAGAAACCAGAACAATTGTTATATTTTTTTCCTAGAACACCAGTGGGTTACACATTACAATTCTGCCCTAGAGAAGATGAATTCCACAAAGGGGTTTGTCTATGACTCTCCCAAACTGGTAAATGGTCTATGGCCATACTACCATGAACACACCTGATCTCGTCCAGATTGGTACATGATTGTCTTATCTTTAAGAAGAGCTTTGTATGTCTCACTATAACACGTTTTGAAATGCATACATTTTGTACACATTCAATTATATTCTATCTTAAAATATCAAGAAAACACAGGAGAATCAAGTGAAAAACTTTACATAAAATGATATACTTGAACAAATACCTACAAAATATTTCAAAGACCAAGTATCAGTATCATCGTATCTATAGACTGTTTGCAAATATATGAAACAAGAGGTATTTCAACAAAAGGGGCAAAAAACTTACATATATACACACACATGAAGTACAAAAGAAATTAAAAATGCGAAATGCCATGAAGAATACTAAAATATTTCGATGTCAAGAATCATCAACAAAACCATAAAATAAGACACCCCCTACATAATGGTGGCTACATATTTAAGGGAACCCTGGATTTCCCTCTGGTGTAACAAGAGAGTCACTTTTATACACTAATATTGGAAGAACAAACTAGTTCAGCCTTTCTGAGAAGAATTTAGCAATATTTATCGCAATCATTAAGAATGGTAATTTCATAACTTTTGAACTAGGAATTCTATTTCTAGGGCTTTACGCCAATGAAACAATCCAAGATACAAATACCTATATGTAAGGATAGCTATTACTTGCTATTTTTACTAACTAGAATTGGAAGAATCTCTACGTTCAACAACAGGCTAATATATAAATAAGTTATTTTATATTCATATAATAGAATATTATGCAAGCATCAATATATTTTTGAAAAAATGATAGATAACAAGAAGAACATGGCATAAGTTTAGATGTAAAAGACACAGAGATGAAATTGTACTTACAGAATGAGCCATACTTAACTGTATTGTAGTGGTGACATATCTTTTTATCTTATTTCATTACAATAAAATATTTATTTTTTACAATAAGTTTAAAATGTTTTATTTGAAACATTATGAAGATCCTAAATTAGTAGTCAGCATACCTTTTCTTACAGGTAGCAAATATTTTAGTCTTTGCAGGGTTTAATTTATATTTAATCATAGGTCAAGGGGAACAATCAAAAATATTATATAGGTTCTTGTATAATTATTTAAAATATAACCACTTTAAGTTGTAAAAAGCTGGCAGCTTGCTACCATTTGCCAACCCATGTCTTACATGAATTAACTCAGAAAGATCTGAGGTAGCTTTCTGACTCAAAGTGTCCTATTTGGTAGGTGGGAATAATCATACCTGTTCTAAGCACTTCAAAGGATTATGGGGATAACTTGATGCATAGGGAAGCTACTGGCAACTGTAAACTGTTAAAAAAATATATCACGGTGTGGGACAACGGGATAATTTGCTCTCATCTGGAGTTCCTTTTCCTTTTTCTCACCCATCTATATCATTCTGATCCTTCAAGACTATCTGAGGTTAAACTGTTTTCCAGGAAGCCACCCCCACTCTTAGAGCTACATACATCTCTTTTATCTTGATGTGTGTATGCCATTTAGAGTTTGCAAATATATATGATTTTTTTTCCTCAAATTAGATGATAAGTACCTTGAGGGAAGAACTTGTCTTGGGTATTTTTTTTCTATCCCCATTTTTTTCTATGCTCATTAAATTAAATGACAGGAGCTGTACTCCTGCATCTATTTCAGGAATACTTTGCATTGTGATTCCAGGAAATGAAAACTTAACCACAAAGAAGTCCTTTATTTATTTGAAATTTTAAAAACATATATCCCAATAAGAACAATAGGTACAAGAACATCATTCAGTGTTCCCAGGAAAACAAAACTACTTCCAGTAAGCCACAGACATCACCATACCCTCCCACTTCACTTCAACCTAAAAACAGTAATAGTAATAATACCTGGAAACCAGGAGGCCATCAACTTCTTATAATCAGTCAGACGTGAATTCTCTATGAATTCTGTTATTCTAAATCATTGTCATTTTATAGACATAAAATCTCAATGTCCATGACATGATATCATTTAAGCATTATAAAAAAGATGTCGCAGGCTGGACACAGTGGCTCACGCCTGTAATCCCAGTACTGTGGGAAGCCAAGGCATTCAAATTGCTTGAGCTCAGGAGTTCAAGACCAGCCTGGGCAACATGGTAAAATCCCATCTCTACCAAAAATACAAAAATTAGCCAGGCATGCTGGTTGCACACCTGTAGTCCCAGCTACTTGGGAGGCTGACATGGGAGGATCACTTAAGCCTAAGAGATTGGGGCTGCAGTGGGCCCTGATTGTGCCACTGCACTCCAGCTTAAGTGACAAAATGATACCCTGTCTCAAAAAAAAATATGTGTCCCGGTGCATTGGTTCATGCCTATAATCCCAGCACTTTGGGAGGCTGAGGCAGGTGGATCACCTGAGGTTAGGAGTTTGAGACCAGCCTGACCAATATGGTGAAACTCCATCTCTACTAAAAATACAAAAATTAGCCAGGTGTGGTGGCATGCACCTGTAGTCCCAGCTACAGCCAGGAGGCTGAGATAGAAGAATAGCTTGAACCCTGGAGGCAGAGGTTGCAATGAGCCAAGATGGCACCATTGCATTCCAGCCTGGTTGACAGAGCAAGACTGTCTCAAAAAAAAAAAAAAAAAAAAGAAAAGAAAAAACGGTTACAAAACTTCAATCAGTAACCATTGCTGTGTATATGATCCTTCACACTGCACACATTCAAAACTGAGACTTTTTCTCTGTTCTTTATTTCATTATTTCTATCTTTAAAAAAAACATTCAGATGGCTTTGGCAAAGAAGATGCCTTAAGCAATCAACTACCTAGTGATGTGCAAAATGTGCTAGATATTATGGGTATGTGAAAAGGTAGAATTAATACCTTAAAATCAGAGACTATGTATATAGCAGCTTCAACTATTTGGAAAAGATCCAAGAATAAGGTAACAAGAAAAATAAAGATTTTAGATTCTTTTTTTTTTTTTTTAACAAGGAAGCCACTCAGAGCTCAAGAACATATTTGTTAAAATAAATATCCATGAAGAGGCCAGATTTGATAAATGGGCTCAAGCAACAACTGTCTGGAGTTCATCAATATCCTGCTCAGCAAGCCAGAATATTTATACTGAACACTTCTTAGTGTATATTAGTAGTTATCTGATGCATGATAAGTTACCCCCAAAACTTATAGCTTAAAACCATAACTATGTCTCATATAAATTTATTTAAATATATATAGTATTATCTATATGTATAAAATTATATATAGATATTTATATATAGATTATATAGATATATAGTTATATATAGATATATATATCTATACATAGATATTATCTATATCTATATATAGAGATATATACTATATAAATAGAGAGAGAGAGGGAGAATATCTGTAGCTACATATATCTATCTATCTCACTAGAGAGAGAGAGATAATATTTGAACTGTCTTGGTTAATAGTGTTGTTCACATCTTCTTTTATCTTGCCGATCTTCTCTTTAGCTGTTATATAATATTGACAGTGAGGTATTGCAGCCTCCAATTAATATTGTTGAATTGTCTATTTCTCCCATAAATTCTGTCAAATAAGCTTCATGTAATTTGGACCTCTGTTTTTAGATGCAAATATGCTTTTAAGTGCTGAATATTCTTGATAGATTGACTCATATTATAAAACATCTTTGTCTCTAGTAAAAAATTTTGTCTTAAAGTCTATTTTGTTTATGTTACTAGCTACTAATCTACTAATTACTAATTACAGTTATTCCTACTCTCTTTTGGTTAGTGTTTGCATGGTACATCGTTTTTCATCCTTTTAGTTTCAATTCATTTTTTTTGTCTTTGAATCACAAGTGAGTCTTGTCTTAAAAGGAAACAATATTAAGGAAATCTAATGAGTTCTCTCTTTTATACTATATACACCTGACTTTTAAAAGATAAGGAAATAAATCTGTAAATTCCCCGAGTTGATAAATGAAATACAGGTTTTGAACTGCTTTCAGATAATGACAAGAAATTCCCAGGAAGGGTCTAGAAATGTATTTCCAATAGAAATATAAAAAAATCCACATGCATACTTTAAAATTTTCTGGTAGCTACATTAAAAAATAAAATGAAACATGAAAATAATTTTAATAATATATTTTATTTTAATCCAATGTATTTGAAATATTATCATTTTAACATATAGTCAACATAAACCATATTCTTTTTCTTTCATTTATTATTCTTTTGCTTTTACCTTTTTTTTTCATACATGCCCCAAGGAGTGCAGCAAGTCAGAGTTCTGAAAAAAGTTGATTCTGGTTATTTTTTCTAGTTTTTTAATTGCTATGATGGATAGGGATATTTTTGAAAGTCCTTACTCTGTCATTTTCACTGACCCATCTTGTAAAGCTTCAGTTATCATGAAAATCTTCAAATGTGGACCAATTATGTTCCTTCCAGATAAAAATATGTTCTAGTCTGAGATCGCATCTAAAATGTATATTCTACAGAATGATAGCTTCATAAATGTTAGTTGAAAGTCCCATAATCAAGGAAGTTATAAGACATTGGGTTGAACAACGTTTAACAGAATTCTTTATTGCAAGACTTCTTGGTGACTTTGATATATGGATCATCTATTATAAATCTCTATTCAGAAGATAATGTGCAACATTTCTCACTTTACTTAACCATGAAACTATTTGTTCCTCAGAGTGCTTTGTGGAACTGGTTTTCCAATGATTAAAATGGAACATACTATCATGAGATGTCATTCCTGTTCCACAAGATCCTATAGTTTATACTTGAACTGTCTTAATACCATAGCCATTAGCCATATGTGGCTCTTGATTACTTGAAATATGGCCTGCCTGAATTTAGATGTGCTGTAACACTTAGTACAAAAAAGAATATAAAAGATCTAATTAATATTGTTTATGTTGACTACATGTTAAAATGACATTTCAAATATATTGGATTAAAATAAAACATTATTAAAATTATTTTCATGTTTTATATTATTTTTTAATGTAGCTACTAGAAAATTTTAAAGTATGCATGTGGAGTATTTATATTTCTATTGGAAATACATTTCTAGACCCTTCCTGGGAATTTCTTGTCATTATCTGAAAGCAGTTCAAAACCTGTATTTAATTTATCAGCTCGGGGAATTTACAGATTTGTTTCCTTATCTTTTAAAAGTCAGGTGTATATAGTATGAAAGAGAGAACTCATTAGATTTCCTTAATATTAAGTTTCCTTTTAAGAAAATTCTGATAATCAGCATGAGACCAAAATACAATAAGGATATTTAAAAAGAAGAGCCTGGATAGTATACAACTTCTGCTCTGGGGTTGGCACTTCTGATTATTAAATGGGACAGTGATACCTAATTATATATTGCTGTTTTAACAAGGGATCTGGCTAATTAACATTACTTACAGGAATGACATGCACCTGATAGTGATTCTTACACTACTTGCTTCTCTTGTTTCTCACATTATAGTTTTTACTTTACTCAACAATAATTAAGGCAGCCTCATGTCCAAGCATAATGGGAATCTCCCTCAGATTGATGAATGTAGGGAATCAGAAATTACTGCAGTAATCCCCACTAGAAGAGTGGTCTATTAGTTGTAATATCCTGGGAAAGGACAATTAAACACATGATTTGAGAATGTAAAAGGAGATGCTACCTGGGGAGAAGAAAGATGGCAGTTCTGGAACCACTAGTTGTCAAGTGCCAGACCAGTTGTAATCAGTCAACTAATATCCTAGAATGTAGATGTATACGGGAATTAAAGGAATTAAACACCAGTAGTTACAGTTTTGATACCTCAGTCTTGGGACACACTGCTTGTAACTGAGATAGTGAGATGAATCTCAGTGAACCTGGTTGGCTCAAGTGAAGTATCACTGAAGCAGGGGACTCTGGAATCTGGTGAATCATGAATCTAGCATCACCCCTATGGCAGCAGGAAGCAGTGGCCAGTAGTAGACTAATGAGAATTCAGTTTCTTCACTTGGGTGAAGCTGAATAGACCCTCCCCGCCTTCTTAGACTGTGTGGCCCCCAGGGTTCTAGTGTAATTAAGTGAGAAGATAAACCAGAGAGGAAGAAAATGGATTTCCTATAAATAAAGTAGGAATTGCCTAAGTAAACAATTAATTATAAAAGTAAAGAAATAGGACCATATTTTAATTTGAAGTTTATAGAGCCGTTCATACCAGACTATACAAAATACATAATTTGTATATATTCACCTTACAAAATAACTTTCCTTACAATTGAGTGAATAAATCTCCTTTCTTCATACTTTCATATATCATGTATTTTCTCAGTTTATGAATCTGTAGATGTTCCTTTGACCTATCTTATAGTCTACACTATAGACTCACAGGTGCACATAAAATGATAACCTGAAATGGATAACTAATTCATAATCCCTTTTCTTAAAGCAACTAGATTAAAAAAAAAAAAAAGATAATCTGTAAGTTTCCTGCCCTCTTTTGCTTATCTCTGTAGAGCACAGGTCCAGATACTTGAGCTGTTGACAGCTCCATGCCAGTGCATGGATTCCTGCATTGGTAATCTGTCAGCAACCACTCACATCGAGATACCTGGAGTGTAAATAAATGGGACTTACTAGAGGCTTTCCACAAGTGGGCACACTTAGCTTCCCTTCTCCTATCTGTAGGACAAGAATTGGACAGCTAGCTGAGAGGACATTTCAGTGGAGTTTACTGTTATAAAGAAGAAACATATCAGTGCAATAAACTCCACTTCTTTATAACAGCAAATTCCAGTCACATTGTGCCTTGTACCAAGTCTCCCTTTTCTAAGCAAGAAAATAATTCTGTTTTCTATCCTTCCCACATCTGCTTGGTCAAACACCGTAAGTTCTAAGTGTCTAGAGAAATTTAGCCTTCCCTAGATTTTCATAGAATTTTCTGATCATAACAGTGATCTAAGATTATAAGAATGATCTAAAAAAAGACATTAAAGATGACATACATAAGATTTCTATGGGCAGAGTTCAAATAAAATTGAAATATTTTTGCTGCTTTCATTTATGTATATTCTGAGTATCAAAATCAGGAAAAATAATCAAGAATTTCCTAAATGAAAACTATTTCATAATAGAGAAGAGCTTGTATATAAAAATCTATGCAGCTGTACTAATAACTATATTATTACCTTTTCATTCTTTATATCTGCCAGGCTTGGATGGGACTCAGGAGTAGGAACCTGTAACAAGGGGTGGAATTTCCTGCCTTTTATCTCCTTTTCCTTCTTCTAAAGAAAAAAGGCCATTTTGGGGGAATGGAGAGTTTATTAGGAGGGTTCAGGTTCGGGTTCAAAAGAGCTCTGCAATGCATTTCAGAATGCAATTCTCTTCCCTCTTTTACTATTACATGCAAACTTTTATAGCAGCAGAGTACCCTTACCTTAACAATATTGCATATTAAAGATTAAAACAGTTTGCCCCTTGAGGAAAGAAAAACAGGATACGATGGAAAGCCAGATGACTTGATGTTGAGGCCTATACTGCCATTTACTAATTAGCCAAATTTGGTCAAGTTACTTAATTCTTTTGAGCTCTAGTTTCCTCTGGGGGGAAAAAATGAGAATAAGTGCTTAACAGTTGGAGATTTTTATGATTTGTGTCTAAACTGCTAACCAAATAGAAGGAAAAATTCTTTGAAAATGCCTTGTCTAAATTCCCAAACCACAGAATCATTGAGTCTAATTGAATGGTTATCGTACACCACTAAATTCCTGCATGATTTGATGGGCAGCCACAGAAACAGGCTAATTATGCTACATCATATAAAAATATGAGGTTCTTTCTTCAGTGTCCTTTGCAGCTCTCTATTTTTGGATTATAAGAAAGTGAGGGAAAAGTCTTTAAGATGGGAATAAATTAAGCAAATCGTTTTGTGGCTTAGACCCTTTAAAAGAACACCTTTAAGGCCGGGCGCTGTGGCTCACGCCTATAATCCCAGCATTCTGGGAGGCCAAGGCGGGTGGATCACGAGGTCAAGAGATCGAGACCATGCTGGTCAACAAGGTGAAACCCCGTCTGTACTAAAAATACAAAAATTAGCTGGGCATGGTGGCGTGCGCCTGTAGTCCCAGCTACTCAGGAGGCTGAGGCAGGAGAACTGCTTGAACCCAGGAGGCGGAGGTTGCGGCGAGCCGAGATCGCGCCATTGCACTCCAGCCTGGGTAACAAAAGCAAAACTCCGTCTCAAAAAAAAAGAACACCTTTAATGCTACACCTTTGGTGCATACACACGAGTAAGTGGGCTTCTGTTGTAGTGGGCATTTCCTCTACGACCACTCTGCCATCATTTACCTTTTCACATCATCCCAGTTCTTGTCCTTAAGTGATTGTGAAAGGAAGAAGTGGTTAAATCATTTATTGATATTGCAAGATACACCCATTAGGAATATAGAATGGTCGCAGTGCTTTTGTTGAAGCTACATTATAAATCTTCCTTCAAAAACCTTCCTTTGGTCAAAGAAAATGTCACATATCCCAAAACTCCTGTCTATTTTTCCTAATTCATTCTATTCCATTCAGTATTGATAGGTTGGGTCACTTCACAGAGTGATGGTGGCTGCTCAACGAAAACAAAAACCGATCAGGCAGAATCTCAGCTGGCTTCTACACCAGTGACCATTTCCAATTTACCCATCAAACAGAGAGTATTGGTTATCTAAGTGATTTAAACAAAGAAAAATCAAAATGCCAAACCCATCGTCTTAAAGAACAATGGGATAATTTTGCTGGGGTCTGGCTAGGATGCTTACACAGTAAAATGTACCTGATGGCTCGCAGATTAGTGCCAGTTTCCACCAAGCTCATGTGTGTTACTTGAGGGCAGGAGCTGAGGACTAGACTTCCAGTTAAGGACACTGTGTCACAATAAGATGGGTGAACTCATCCCTCACCTACAGGAGGAAACAAACAAGGACTTGTTTTCAAGTCAGGTCTTTGTGCACACAGAAGGCAATGAGTCAAGTGTGTTAGGGACATAACATGAATTTGTTCCAATGAGTTAGCATTGTCATCATCGTCATCATCATCATCATATTTATAGCTCCCAGTCGAGAAGTGCCTAAGTATATCAGATTCCCAGGTAGGCCTTTTGTAGGCACTAGTTTTAGTGTTTATAATAATTCTATAAAATAGATGTTAATATCCCCGCTGTACACATAAGAAAATTGTGGGTCTGGGAGTAAAATATCTCATTGAGATTATCCCTAAGTAAACAACAAAGCTATCAATCAAATCTAGGGCTGATGGCTCCAGAGTCCATACTAAATTAATTTTCACTTGAGAGCTAAACTAATAAGACTCAGTCATCTTATGCAAGCACCCAGGTTCTCTATTAATACAATCAGCAAGTAAGTAAGACCTTGATGAACTTATGATATAAAATGGAGTTGGCTATAAGATTCTAAGATTAATAACAAGTTTAGGCCTAATAGGTTTCATTTGCAGTTATTATTAGTATAAAATGAGTTATAAAACACTAAGAAACCGAAGTGTTATTAAAAGATCAAAATATACCAAGCTGGAAAATTTTAAACATAGGAAAAATTAAATCTAACCTATGATTAATCCCAAGATTTTATGTGATTTTTCTGCTTGGTTTAACTACTGTTCACTGTGTTTTTATTTTTAACCCTCATGTTTATAACTACTTTCTACTCTTTTGACAGGAAGATTTTATTTATCTCCCTATCATTATAATCATAAAATTATTAAATGCCTTATTGCAACTAAGATTGTGTATTAGTCCATTCTCATGCTGCTAATAAAGACATACCCAAGATTGGCTAATTTATAAAAGAAGGAGGTTTAATTGACTCACATTTCCACATGGCTGGGGAGGCTTCACAATCATGGTGGAAGGCAAGGAGGAGCAAAGTCACATCTTACATGGTGGCAGGCAAAGAGGGAGCTTGTGCAGGGAATTCTCAATTATAAAATCATCAGGTCTTGTGAGACTTATTCACCACCATGAGAACAGAAGAGAACCCCCATGATTCAATATCTTCACCTGGCCGCATCCTTGACACATGGGAATTATTACAATTCCAGGTGAGATTCAGGTGGGGACACAAAGCCAAATCATATCAGATGGTTCTAGAAACTGAACACAGACCCAGAGTTTTTCTTATCATAATTTATAATAGAGGAGGATCTAAGAATACTGGCTTATTGTAGATGTACACACCCACAGAGAAAGGATAATCAAATCCTTTATATCCTTAATCCACCCTTACATCTTTATCTCTGTCTTTCCATATGTCTATATTTATATATGTTCTATCTATCCATATATGTATGATGTCTCATTATTATTCTGTAATATTCCCTGTACCTGTTGTAGTCTGATTTAAGTGCACATGTATATACTTATGCTCTCTACGTAAGTGACTACAAAACCCACTTTTAGAACCTTAAACTCCAAAGGCTGAAATCTCAAGGGCAAAGTTAGCATGTTTATCTTCCATGACAACTCTTTTAAGAACTTACTGGAAAGCTTGACATTCAGAGAACATCACAGAAAGGGTCTGATTTTCCAGGGCATAAAAAGATGAAAATTACAGGTGAGATCCTATTCACCATACCGTGTTATGCTAAGTTATTTTCTCATATATTCAGGTGATCTACCCTTTAAGGAAATTTTATGTAAGAGAAAGTCAAACAGGAAGTAGCTATTCATTTCACAAATAATTTGAAGCATAGTTTCTAAATATAACAAACCCTCACTCAGTAGTTAAAATGAGACTTGATTCACAAAATTTCAATTTATGCATAATTTGCAATGAGACGGCTTTGATAACCTGGTCTCAGCCTAGTCCTTGGCACAAATTTATGAAGCACTGACCATATACCAGGAACTATGCGTTGCTTGATGAGTAGCACCTAGAGCACCCACAAAGATATTTGGGGACCAGCTTCTAAATTTGTGAGCTTGCATATATTGGTGCCAGAATCTGCAGAATCCCCATTGGAAGATAAAAATCAGAGAGTCATGGAAGTGCTTATCCCATATTGTACTTAGAATAACTAAGTAACCTCAAATATTGTAGTGATACAGCATTTATGAAACTAGATGCAAATAATTTAAGCAGTAAGCAATAGTGCAGCATCCACCATCTTATTTAAGATGTCAATCAATCCAACATATGTACATATCATTAATTTAAGGTTTTTTTATGCATTAAAAGTGAATGTCTAGAAATTGAGTAAGATTAAGCTATTGTTGCTGTGTGATTTGCAGTTTTGAGTGAAAACAGACTAAGAATGTGAGCTTATTTCCCAGAACTTTGATATGTGAAAGACTTCCCCAAACATCATCTAGCAAGCTGAGAACAGACTTTCAACTTTTAATGAATAATTTCTTTCAAGTACATGACATTTCTATTAAAAAGAAAAAGAAATGTAATATTGTTCTCTCATTGCTTATTCAGAGAGTATTCAAGGCAAGAACAGTTCAGAGCCCAAGATGAAGCTGGTAAAAGATAAAACTGAGCTCATAAAATTTTTCATTCAGCTGCTTACATCAGAGCATCTTTTCACTGGCTTTCAACCAACCAGTATCACACAAAGCTTACAAAAGTCACATGGTGATAATCTGTTCTCAGCCAGAAATACTCTCCACTCTAAAGGCAAAGACTGTTCTGTAAATCAATACTCAATTTATGAAAATCAGCCCATCCCATTGTCAAATCATTTTTAACTAATCATATTTAGAAGAAATATACCCCCTTTCCTTCCATATAGAAGGAACCCAAAGGGATTTCGTGATAAGAAATCAGAAAGCCTGGTTCCATGCTTACTACCTTTGCGACCTATATCATACTTTTGCAACTCCTAGAACCTCAGTCATTCTACCTGCAAATTGGAGATAATGTTACTTCTGACACAGAGAAGAGAGGAAGTTAATGAAATAATTATGTATAACAAGTACCTTGTACAGTTCCTGGAACATAGAATGGGTTCAGTAAATGATAGCTATTATCATTGTTATTATCTCTTATGTTTTCAACAATTTTATTGATTCCTGTAAAGGTTAGTTCAGTTACAAAAATGGCAAAAGATCCAGTTGATTAGTCAACTATTAGGTATATTACCTACTAAACAGCAATGTTTCCTTAGGAGAATTATATTTGCTCCTCCAGTTACAATTTTTTTCTTTGTAGTAGTCATATTCCAATGTGCAAGCCCTTCCTATCACACAGATACTAGGAGATTCTGTCCCTTTTTAAAGTGCATTTCAGTTCATTATTTCATGATGACATGAGAAAGCCACCAAAGCATTACTAGCCTTATATTCTGGCAATATAGAAACATGGAGACCACCGATAGAGTCATTCTGAATCCAGAGAGTCTCACCATTTTGAAGACAGCAACATTAAGCACAGTTACTTCTCATAAATTTTCCAGGCTCCTGACCAGGCAGGCCTCAGAAACCTTGGGGACTCTCCCGATGTTTAGGGTCTGTAGGTGAGGACACTGCAGGGCCAAGGACCCTACACTCCTGGTGGTAAGAGTAAGGCAGCCAAATACTTATATTTTATAAAGGCTGATAAAAAAATAAATTGCAAAATATCATACTGTGCACCCTGATCCACTATGCATGAGCAGATCACTAAGGTTACTTGAATAAGATTTTTACTTTTCCATGGTGGAAAGCCTGCATTAAAAAGTCACATTTGAGAAGTGAATATATAGTGCCGATAATGTGAAATGAGTGTGTAAATTATTCAATGAATGGATAAAATTCTCTAGGCATATTATCTTCAGCACATACACACCACCACATTGATTCTCGTTATTGATGGCAGTTAACCTTCCATAACATTGCTGCAGACACTGAATTAGCGAATACTGCACCATTGCTCTTAAGGGAAAAACAGTCAAGTTCTTGCAAGCTTCTGGTCACAGTTTCAGCAATCAATGAATACATAACCTTGCTTTATGTGTGTTTCTGTCAAGTGGCCATTTATTTAATATATCTTGTTGATTCGCTAACACTGAACTCAAGGCCAACGGCACTATAGCTCATGACTGAGGGAAGCTTCTCTAACACACGTATTTTCTCTGTAAGGCACCTCACAGCCTTCTTGCACTCAGGAACACCTAGTACCTCGGTACTATGTTTTGGGACCATTTTAAACAGTGAAATCACAAACAAAAAGCACAAAATGTGAAAAAAATGTGGCACAAATGTGAAAGAGGCATTTCTTTTTGAGACAGTTTCACTCTGGTTGCCCAGGCTGGAGTCCATTGGCATGATCTCGGCTCACAGCAACCTGCGCCTGTGGGTCAAGCAATTCTCCTCCTCCGCCTCCCAAGTAGCTGGGATTACAGGCACCTACCACCATGCCTGGCTCATATACTCGTCGCTCCTAAAAGGAGAGGGCATGATACACCACCCTGGGCTATACAGGGAACCACCAGTGTTGGGCAGGAGGCAGAGGGAGCAGGGGAAAAACTAGGCAAGAACCTTCTTCGTGGTTCCCACTGGAAAGCAGACACGGGTGAGGCAGGGTAAGTAGGCTTAAGATTGGCTAGTTTAGTAATTTTGCCAGACTCTGGGGCACAAGGGCCATCCCTGGTTGGCTGGTATCCAGCCCTGGAGTGATAAAGGTAGGTGGGTAGTGGCTTGGAAAGGTAAAAGCTAGATAAAGGAGGTAGTTGGGGGGTATGAGCCTTGGACTGGTTGGAAAAGCACATTTGCAGGCAAGTCATTTGCTATTTCTAGGAATTGGCTAGCCCTGGGAGGGACAGTATATTCAGAGTCAGCATGACCCCAGATGTCAAAACATCAGAATAAAAAGTCATGCTTACTATACATCTGCACTGGCCACTTCCCTCTAGCCTTCCTCAACCTCCTTCAGTGGAGCCTCAGTTATCAGAAAACCAAAAGAAGGGATCATATGCTCTGAGCATTTGAAGTTAAATACCCAAGGCAGCAGCCTTTTGCTTGACATGGTCACATACACTGCAGAGTGTAAAGCTGAGTGAAGTGTCTGTAGGAGGCCCACACTTGAAACCCTTTCAGTAGTCCCTGAGAATGTCATTTAGCCACTTGGAATCTCTAAAGTTCTTGTTAAAAATCTGCTCAATAGTAATGATAATATCTACCGAATTTTTATGATAACTAATAATGAGATAAGGCACTTTAAGAATGTAAAGGAGTAGATAAATGTTAGTATTTATAGTTATTTTAACAGCATAAAACAGATTGACAGAGGTGAATACTGGAGTGTCTATGAGTAAAATAACACATTTGGGATTTGCTTTAAATTATTCCAGCAAACAGACAAAAAAGTGAAAGGGATTGATTTTTCAATATTTGAAAAAATATTCATTATTATTAAAGGTGTAGGATCAGTATATGGGAATTCATTCTACAATTCTCCTTTTGAGAATTCATGAACATTTGCATAACAAAAATTTCTTTATGCAGTCTGAGAGATACAGAAAAAAGAGATATTAGATATTAGCAATTGTTGGAGAATTACTATTGTATAAAAAACCCAAATACTATTGTATAATACTTATTTTTATGATTGTGAATCAAAAGCTCATTCTCTTTTCTTAGACTCCTGGATTACTAAGATGACTTGATCTTTTCTGTTCCAAGTATCTACAGGCTAATATTGACTTAGGTTAATCAAATTCTTGTTATAATACATTTGTGTTAAGCAATAGAATTCCTAATGGTAAAACTATAATCAACATGTTATGACTACTTCATGATGAGAAGTCCTATTCAATTAGGGAATTTCCCCAATCAAAGGCCCTTCACTCTCAAGAGAGCTTCACTGAATAGCAAGTGGAGGCTGCTTAATTAGTGAGGTTAAAACATCTTTCAGAAACAAGGTCAAGATGACATTTTCTTTCTGTGCCAAGCAATGAAAGAATCCTCCACACACAGTCCTCAGAATTCTTGGTGAATCTTGGAAAATTCCTGTAAGACTTACTGACTGAAGAGAAAGGAAAATATATTGATCTTAATATCAATGAAGTTTTCTTTAAACATGTACTAGATATTGGCTTTACATAAGAATTTCCTTAAAATTTCCATAAAATGACTGACTTTTTGCTTGAGAAAACTCTTTCTCCACATTCATTATTCTTCTTTGAACAAATAAGAATCATAAAAAAACTATGAACCATAATTGTAAGTCAATCAACAGAGAAAATGTTAAAGTCAGCACTTCTCTGAGAGTCACCTCGTCATGGTATTTTTACGGTAAAGACACTGAGAGAGCTTGCAAGAAGCATTGAGTCAGTCCATGCAATAAATAGAGATGGACAATGTAAGAGATCCTTTAATCAAAATGTCTTATGCAGCCACAGAGCACTCAATAACCAATGTGTCTGCCACAGAAAAGGACAGGAGATGAAGCTACATAAATATACATGGTGGTATCAGTCCATCTGAACTACAAAGTATGATTTCCTTTTTCTTCCCATAAAAAGAAAATCTCAGTGACAAATCCTGAAAAAGTTTTGTTTTTTCATTTGACCAAATTATCCTGCATTTCCCAAGTGATTACATTCTTGATAGGATATATCAACTTTCAAACCCCTCACTAACTTTGTGTACTTTAATATAGCCTACAATTATATTAAAACATTGTTAGTTCTCTAAAAACATTTAACTTCTGACACTAGTATCAGAATATCCAGAAAATGTGAAATACAACAGGTCACATTATTTAGCACTTACCAGGACCAGTGGGCTTTAAACAAAATACCATTTTACCTTCCTTCTACACTTCCAAACCTCACTTTGGCGACAAGAATAAAGAAATATAGATGAGCTAGGAGGAAGAAGCAAAGCTTCATATTTATTGAGTGTCCATATTGACTGTACAAGTTAAATAACTACTCATAATTTTCACTGTTAACTAAGAGGAAAATATCATTTAGGAGTTGCTGTATTGCCTACTCAAGGCTGGGTAACTGCAAGAGGCTAAATTTCAACACCTCATGCTCTCTCCACCTCCTTTTGCTGCTCCCAAAGCCAAACTGAGGCTTCCATTAGCAGTGAAATGTTTGAAATATCTGCCACCCCTTCCTACCTCAGAGTCACAAAGTCTAATGAGATAGTATAGAATCCTATACTGAGCATCACTATGTTAAAAGTGAACAAACAACAAATAAATAAATAAAAATATAGACAGCAGCCATTATCAAGTCTAGAAAATGACAGGAAGACCTACTTGAGAAGATTAGTTTCAGCTACACTCATTCAGGGTCACTGAGAATCGACACAATATACCTTGCCTGTCACTCCCCAAGTTCATTTATCAAATCTAAATTCCTCTCAATGTGTTTGCGTTTTCATTTGACTAACAAATTAATCTAATGAAAGTGCTTCACTGAGAATAGAATTCTTTTTTATTTACCTGAATTTTTCCAGAATAGCAAATAAACTAAGAGAAAATTGTTGCATTTATAAAAGGAAAAATGCGTGGTATAATATGGGATCATGTACTTGACAATAGATTGTAAACTGTTTTAAGGCCTGTGAACACTATGAAAATGTGTGCTTGTATTACTACAAGTCCCAGTCAACTAATGCCAAGTGAGCATGATGCTAAGACATAAAAGCTGAAAATAATAATAGCCAGGAATTTTGGTTATAAGGCTCAATAATAATAGGATTTTTACATCATCCCATGTGTCGGCTGCAGGATTGCAGCCTAGAAGAACACCACCCAAGGCCAAGTGGCTATGGAAATAGCTAATGAGACCAACATTATCTAAGCCAATAGAAGTCATCTGAACATGAGGCCCAGTGTCCACTCTCCTCAAAGACATTAACTGTAAACAACCATGTGTTTTCATCAGAACGCCCACAGTGTAAGTCTCTGGTCAGTCACATTTCCTTCACCTTCACCCTACATACCTGGTACTTCTGAGCCCTAGATCCAGCCTGTTCCTTCTCTACCCATCTAAATCCTTGAGCTAGCTCTCTGGAAATGCTGCTCCATATATTAATTTTCTATGAATGTATCTGTTTCTTTGCTTAATCCCTCCACCTCGTTTTAGGAGACCACTTGTGCCCATATCCCTCACAGGTGAACACTGTTTATTCTTTCACTGTGAAAGTAGCTCAAAATCAGGACATAGAGTTTTTTTCCTCTGTGCTTCCCATCACTCCTTGACAGCAATGATCATCTACCCCTACATCATGTGTGACAGCTGCCATCTGCCTCACCACTTCCCTTTTCTCCCAGTCACCACCATTCCTGGGAGACTTCAGCACATGGTCATAGCCATCCACTCCACCTCAAGTCCTCTCAACATCCTGGGTGACTTCAATAACCAAGTAGATGATGACCCATCTAATACCTTGACCTTCGGCTCTTGAAGTCCTCATCAGTAATGACCTGACCTCCTTTGTGTCCCATCAGCCACCTACTCCACTAGGATGGCTTTAGACTTTGTCATACCCTGAAATTACTGATCAGGACATCTCTCATTTAGACTCTGTCTCCTTTCCTTCCTGCTTAGAAACTATTTTATTAAATATTCCCATTGTGACCATTCTCCTTTTCAGGGCCTCCAAATAACTGTCTTCTTTACTGTCACTCCTATCATCAGACTTCTAAATTTCTTCATATTCATTCTCTTCCTGCTTAAATTCCAGACCCACCATTTCGGTGATAATCTGGCCACTATCCCAAAGTCCTGTCATATGTGTCCAGCATAGTAGAGTCCACGTGACCACTGTCCATGTTCTCTGTCCACATCACGCAGCAAGTCGCACAACATACTTACATTCTAAACAAATAAGCAGCAACCTGTTACACTCATCTGGTCAACATACTGCCCTCTCTAGAATGTTGACTCTGAATCTATGGCACCTCTCTCTAGTCATGACCTTAGAGTGCCAGTTTCTTCTTTCCTCAGAGCCAAAGACCTCACCTCCTACTTCACAAAGAATGTTAAAGCCCTCCATAGTCTTCTGCACATTTTTTTTATCTTTCTCCACTTCTCTTACATTGTTTAACATGTCTCTTCCTTTCCAAAGCCCATTCCTAATCCTTGGATCCCATCTACTCCAGCCTTTTCCAGAAACATACACTCCTGTCATCTATTTTTCTTATCCAATTGTTCCATCTCACATGAATCTTTCCCACTGGGATTGGAACACGTTCAAGTCTCATCAATTAGAAAGCAAAAGGCTCCTTTGGGTTCACAATCCCATGCAGTCATCACCTCCTCTTTCTTTTTTGTCCTCTGGACAAAACCTCTGTTTGCTATCTCCATTATCTTATTTCCATTATCTTATTTTTCATCAATTCATGGCAAGTGGATTTTTGACGTGTCGCTCTCCTGTAACAACACTTATGAAGATCAGTAATTATTGATAGAAGCTAAACCAACAGACATATTTAAAGCTTTCTTTTATATACCTTAGGCATTCCTGAACACTGTTACTGCTGTTCATTTCTTAAACCATTCTCCTCTTTGTATTTGAAAAATAAAAAAAAAAAGAAAACACACACAGACACACACACACACTCCTCTGATTTTCTTCCTATCTCTTTGGTATTTCCTCTCAGTCTTCCTTGCAAATTCAGATTACTCTGTCTGACCATTGACTATTGAAGTTCTTCAAAGACAAGGGCAAGATTCTCCTTCCTTCCCACTATGGTCTCTCTCTATATGTCAGTCATGGCCATATTCTCAGATTTATCTCTCCAGGCAGACCTTGCTCTGAGCTCCAGAACTCTATCTCCTAACACCTACTAACATCTCCACTTGTAGATTTCCCCAAACACTTCACTCAAATCTTTCCTCCCCAGATAACATTCACTTCCAAGTTTGTCACTAAATGCTACACAATTTATCTAGCTATATAAGACAGACTCCCAGGAAACAACCTTGGTATCTTCTTTTTCTTTTTTTCCTGTGCTGTTCTGGTTTCTCAGAAACTTCTGTACATTTTAATTCATACATATCTTACTTGTCTGAGTTTTCACTGCCATTGTTCTAGGATACTATCATCTCTGTTCTAAACAATATGAAAAAGGGTTACTAGACAGGAGCCCTGCTACTGGAAGCGTGTTCCAGGTGGGAGCAGCACCAGCACTACATGGGAATTCGCCAGCTGTGCAGATTTTCAGGCAGCACCCCAGACCAAATCTCCATTTTTAACAAGACCTCCAGGTGATTTATATGCATATAAAGGTCTGAAAAGCACCAGACTAAAGGACATTAGAAACTTCTTCACACTTCTATGAACCAATGGTAGTATAAAAGCAAATTAATCTATACTGATCTGAAGATAGAGAAAGAGACCTCACTCAATATTTTTAATCCTTTAAATTCTCCAATGAGAAGGCATTCTCAGAGTTTGTTTTAATTTGTTGATGTTATTTGTAACTGAGGGTTCTTAAATTGAGATTTATGTGTTTATGGTTTAACTCCAAGTAATGGGAGGGTGGAGAAAGAAATATTCCTGCCTCTTATTGTGGCTCCTAGTCTGGCACTCCAAACACCAAAAGGATCAATAAACTCTTGTTGTTTAAACAAGCAGTGTCTTTGGAGACAACAATATGAGTGGCCCAGGACACCTGTTTTAAAAATCTGTCTGTTGAAAAAGACAGATGAATCTTAAAAACATTACATTGGGTAAAAGAAGCCAGACTTAAAAAGTACACACTGGTCTAATCCCATTTAAATCAAGTTCAAGGAAAGGCAAAATTAAGTCACGGTGATATAAAAGAGAAAAGTGATTACTTCCAGGGGTGGGGGGCAGATTACAGCTAGAGAGGAGCACAAGGGAGCTCTTTGGAGTGATGGAAATGTTCTATATCCTGATCTGGTTGTGGTTACATGGGTGTGTGTATGTGAAAAAAAATTGTCAAGTACATAGCAGATGTGTTCATTTTACCCCAAGTAAATCATACCTCAACAAGAAAGAAACAACAAAATTAAATAAATATGCCTTATGTCAGATACAATCTATATAAAAGGGAAAACTTGGGTGCACTTACTTGAGCACTTAAGCCAGAAGTCAGAGAATCATGGCCCCCTGGACAACTTTTTTTGTAAATAAAGTTGTATTGGAATACAGGCACACTCATTTGTTGACAGAACTGTAAATTCTTCAAAGCCTTTAATATTTACTATCTGGCTCTTTTCAGAAAAAGTTCATCTACTCCTGATCTAAGCCAATGGTTCATAATTTTTTTGCATGGGTTCTTTGATCTCTTAGAGAATCCAAGGAAGGCGAAGGGATTATCTCCCCAAGAAAACACATGGCTTCTTAAATATAAAATGTGACATAATTTTAGGAAGTTCATGTACTCTCTGAAGCACAGTCATGGAACTCCAACTTAAGACCTTCTGTTTCCAGTTTTTATCACTAATTACTAAACCACTCTACCGAGAACCATCCATAGGTTGGCTCTCTTTTCTTTGAACTACATCTGATTGAACTTGTATTTCACACCGTTGCTTGCTCCACAGAACTACTCATGGTGATAGCCAATAACCGTTATCCAGATCACAATATCCCATCCTGTATCAGTCAGTTTATTTTGTTCTCCCTCAAGGGAACAATCTATATACAACCTAACTCTGAGAAGCCTTTCTGAAAATGTATGTAGTAGTTTGGTGCCAAGATAAACCAAGAGAACCAGAAATGAGGAACTGGCAGTCTCATCAATACTGAAAAAAACACAATGCGATAGCTTACAAAGGAGTTCGTTAGCAGTGTCACATGCAGGAAGAATACTGGCACATATATGCAATTCCACAGTCTCAATATAAAAGAAGGAAAAATGTGTGGACCAAACAATGGAGTGTACTTGGATATTGGGAGCACTTTTACAGCAGGGCCATTCCTGTGCATCTGTTTAGCCCCTGTGGTGCCTTGCACAATTGCAGGAACCTAAAGAAATGGATGAGTTAAACCAATTTATAAAAACAAAAGTCATTATTTTATAAATGGTTTAGGCTTCCTGGGAGCAATGTGATAGTTGGATTTATGTTTCACTCCAGAAAAAGACAATTATGTGTAGAGAACACTCCCTGTGTTTCTCTAACTCTGATTTCACATTAATGTGCTCACAAAACATATATCAAAGGTCTACTTGGTGGGAGGCCTGTTAACTTATTAGCACCATTTATTGTCCTGAAAGAAAGCACTCGCAGAAGTCATTTAATGAGGACATGGCATGTTTTGACCAATTCTTGAATAATAAGAAAAACCTATCTTCACACAAAATGAGAATACTCCAGTCAGCGTGATCACTGATTTAATGCTAATTTTACAGTTCTTCATTACTGTTTTCCTAGCTGCTGTAAGAACAGTGGGTGGCATCTACAAAAGCTGATTAATGCTGGGATTTAAGTTGCTGAAAATTGAAGGAATGTGCCCCATGCTGACAATTTGTTAATCAAAAATTGTCATTTCTACCACCGTGCAAGCTTTAGCCCATTTTATAAAAGCCATGTATATTTCCTCCCAGATGCAGTGTTATAAATTCCCCCCTCAAAAAGACTGAATTACTTTTCCCTAACAGTTAAAGGTTTTATGGGTTCACAAGACGCTAAATCTCTCCAATTACAATGAATTAACTTCTAAAGTGGAAGAAACATATCATTTCAGTTCATATTTTCCACTTTTTGTATCAATTTGTTTGCTAAGAATGCACATATCCATACTGTCATTGAACTATTATAAGTTTATCAAAAAAGCATGTTATTACTTAGACAATTCTATTTTTAAAGCAAATCAAATGACCAAAACTCCTGTTGTATTCATTTTTAGTAGTTAGTATTATTAAAGCCTCAGAGCAATTAGCATCCCTCAGCCTATGCAAAGCGACGCTTTCAAATGAAAAGATGATGACCAGCAAAGCAACCATGTTTTGGAGCCAAAGAAACTCAAAAACTATGAGGCAGACATTAGTTCCTCTGGTTCCTAAACCACAGGGGACACTGAATGAACTCTCCTAGTCGTTCTTATCACCCCTTCCCAATTGGCTTGAGGTCAAGCAGGTACTTCCCTCCCCCTTCAAAGTAAACCAATAATTTATTTTTTTTAAAATCCCTTCTTCAAATTCTTCAACCTCCACCTCCCAAGGGCTGAGAATAGATGTTTGCCAGTGCTGACAAACCTAATATTATAATCTCTTGGCATGACCTATGTGGATGTCTAGCACCTTAACTTAGAATGAAAAGGTGGGGACTTGTTTCAAACTTTATATTTGAAGGACACCACAAAAGACAAACTATGAGGCCCAGAGTATGCACAAAGAGGGGAGTCAGAAGAGAAGCGTGCACATGGAGCCAAGGCCTTAAGTGGCTTCTTCAGTGAAAGAATACACCATGTTCATCCCCAAAAGGGAGGCACAGTAGAAACTGTCTGTCTTCCCTGACCTGATTACTCACAATCAGAAGCTGGTTCTCATGCTGTTGGTGGCCTTAATTTATACCACCTATTTGGTATGAAAAGCCCCAAGAATTTCTTTCACAGTAATTCTGGGTTAGCTGTGTTCTAGGAACCAGGGAAAAGAAAAAGCAAATCCTTACTAGAGAAATGTACATTCACCCAGTCCTCCAGACATTCCCCAAAAAATATCAATCATGAACTTACATTAAAAAAAATCACAAACCACATGACACCATAAGCAAGAACTGCAAGAAACAACCAGCAGCAGAATCAGATGCACAAAGCCTGCAGATGCTAGAATTTTTAGATGCACAATGTAAGATAAAGATGTGTAATGTCACTAAAGAAATGACAGTATTGAAAGTATGAGCAAAGAAGAAGGAGCAATCAAACTTGGTTAGACAAATTTCGGGGAAAAATAAAACTTCCAAGAATACAATGTAATAACATTTAAAACTCAATTAATAGATTAGCAAATTACATGCAATGAAATAATTAATGAAACAAATAAATCTGAAGACAATGTGCAGGATTCAGATGCTGATAAGACATTAATTCTTCCAAAAATAACTATAAGAGCACAGAAGGGTGGTTACCAGGGTTTGAGAGAACGTAGAAAATGGAGAGATGTTCCTCAAAGGGTATAAACTTTTAGTTTTAGGTGAATAAGTTTTGGAGACCTAAAACAGAGCATGGTACTATAGTTAATAGTAATATACTATAGGCCCAGTGCAGTGGCTCACACCCGTAATCTCGGCACTTTGGGAGGCCAAGGCGGGCAGATCACCTGAGGTCAGGAGTTTGAGACCAGCCTGACTAACATGGAGAAACCCTGTCTCTAGTAAAAGTACCAAAAATTAGCCGGGCATGGTGGCGCACGCCTGTAATCCCAGCTACTCAGGAGGCTGTGGCAGGAGAATCGCTTGGACCCAGGAGGCAGAGGTTGTGATGAGCTGAGATGGCACCACTGCACTCCAGCCTGGGTAACAAGAGCGAAACTCTGTCTCAAAATAATAATAATAATATACTGTATACCTGAAATTTTCTAAGAAAGATTTTTAGTATTCTCACCACAAAAAAACAAGTAACTATGTGAGGTGATGAATATGTTTATGTGCTTAATTATGGTAATTATTTCACAATATATACATATATCAAAACATCACATTGTTCACCTTAAATATGTACAATTTTTATTTGTCAATTATACCCCAATAAAGTTGGGGAAAAAAGAATACATACAATTGTCATATTTTCTTTGTGCCTTTCTAGTTTCCAAGAATAGTACCTTAAGAGTTAGTTGAGAAAACAACACTGAAAAATAGAAAAAAAAAATGGGTGAATATTTAAATAATTTCATATTAAAATATTTAAATAATAAAGGGGTATCAAAGCCTTTTAAGTTAAAAACAATGGAAGAAAGCATAAAAGAGATTAATAAATTTTTTAATTCTGAATACATTTTTTTAACTATAAATGATAAAATTTAAAAATCCTTGTAATAGCTGTGATAGAGGTTAATATCCTCTATGCTAACAGCTCTTAAATAAAACTATTGAGATATTTAAGTATTAAAAGAATATGAACATGTATTTGAAAAGTAGAGGCAAATAATCTATAAACTTATAAAATAAATGTATTAATAAATGTTCAACTTTGCTATTAAAGAGCAGCAGCAAAGCAAAACATATTGTATAATTATATCTATCAAATGAGCAGATTCTTATTTAAAATCATATGTAATAATACTAGCAAAGGAGGTGATACTGACACTTTCACATTCTGGTGGAGTAAATATTTTACTACTTTCTTGAAAGTTATTTTGCAATATATATGTTCGTGTTTGTTAATCTAGAAATTATACCTCCAAGACTCTATCTTAAGATTTTTTCATCATATTGTTTAAAATTTATTTATTATACTTTAAGTTCTTGGATACATGTGCAGATCATGCAGGTTTGTTACACAGGTATACACATGCCATGTTGCTGGTTTGCTGCATCTATCACCCTGTCATCTACATTAGGTATTTTTCCTAATGCTACCCTTCCCCAGTCTCCCCACCCCCTGCTATTCTTCCCCTAAACTCCCACCTCCCAGGCTCTGGTGTATGATGTTCCCCTCCCAGTGTCCCTGTGTTCTCCTTGTTCAACACCCACTTATAAGTAAGAACATGCAGTGTTAGGTTTTCTGTTCTTATATCTGTTTGCTGGAGAATGATGGTTTCCAGTTTCATTCATGTCCCTGCAAAGGACATGAACTCATTCTTTTTTATGCATGCATAGTATTCCATGGTGTATATGTGCCACATTTTCTTTATCCAGTCTATCATTGATGGGCATTTGGGTTGGTTCCAAGTCTTTGCTATTATAAATAGTGCCACAATAAACATACGTGTGCATGTGTCTTTATAATAGAATGATTTACAATCCTTTCGGTATATACCCAGTAATGGGATTGCTGGGTCAAATTGTAATTCTATTTCTAGGTCCTTAAGGAATCACCATACTGTCTTTCACAATGGTTGAATTAATTTACACTACCACCAACAGTGTAAAAGTGTTCTTATTTCTCCACATCCTCTCTAGCATGTGTTGTCTCCTGATTTTTTAATGACAGCCATTCTAACTTGCGTAAGTTGGTATCTCAATGTGGTTTTGATTTGCATTCCTCTAAGGACCCAGTGATGATGAGCATTTTTTCATATGTTTGTTGATTACATATATGTCTTCTTTTGAAAAGTGTCTGTTCATACTCTTCACCCACTTTTTGATGGGATTGTTTGTTCTTTTTCTTGTAAATTTGTTTAAGTTCTCCATAGATTCTGGATATTAGCCCATTGTCAGATGGGTAGATTGCAAAAATTTTTCCCATTCTGTTGGTTGCCTGTTCACTCTATTGATAATTTCTTTTGCTGTGCAGAAGCTCTTAAGTTTAATTAGATCCGATTTTCTATTTTGGCTTTTGTTGCCATTGCTTTTGGTGTTTTATTCATTAAGTCCTTGCCCTTGCCTATGTCCTGAATGGTATTGCCTAGGTTTTCTTCTAGAGTTTTTATGGCATTAGGCCTCATGTTTAAATCTTTAATCTATCTAGAGTTAATTTTTGTATAAGGATTTTTTAAAAAACCATTATTTTGTGGTTTAAAACACTATATTTAAAATTCCTCTTGATTTAAAAGTCAATTTTCAACACACATATAAGAAATAACACATTAATATAATAACCTGATATCCAGATAGAAAAGAATGTTATCGTAAAGTTAGTGAATAGAATCTGTCACAAAAACCAACATATCTTCAAGGAAACTTGAACACAAAATTTACAACTGAAGAAATACAAAAGTTAATGTATGGATAAAGATCACTTGAGGTCAGGAGTTTGAGACCAGCCTGGTGAACGTGCTGAAACCCCGTCTCTACCAAAAATACAAAAAAAAAAAAAAAATAGCTGGGCATGGTGGCACGCACCTGTAATCCCAGCTTACTCAGGAGGTTGAGGCAGGAGAATTGCTTAAACCCAGGGGGCAGAGGTTTCAGTAGGCTAAGATTGCACCACTCCACTCCAGACTGGGTGATAAGAGCAACATTCCATCTTAAAAAAAAAAGAAAAATAATGAGCCTTCTTTTTATAAAGACTTTTTACTGCTGATATAATTTTGTAAGACATAGGATCTATATCAGCCTTCTTTATTTTGTGCATCCAATGAGTCATATCAAAAACACTGTGGCTTTTATATTCCATTATGTTTTTTACATAACAAATGTTATGTAATACTTGTATTTCATTTGTCAAGTTTTAGCTAGAGCTTGGCTTAGTGGTGAGCAAAAGGTAATCTCTATAGTGGTCATAATGTCATTGTATGCTTTTCTTATTTTATCTCCCATTAGAACTGTATGGCTTAATAACTTGGTGGTGATGATGGAAACTATACTTTAAATGACCACGCCCAGGAATATTCCATATCCCTCATTCAGCCATATCCCTGGGTATCTCATATGGACACAACCATATGGATACAACCAAAGCTTGGATAAAATAATTTGAAATGAAAATATGTTTTCTATGTAGGCAAACAATCAAAGCAAAGGAAAGAAATACAAGAAATAAAAATATGTATTTATGCCTGACTTATTGACCCACTCATCCGAAAGTTGATCCATAAACCAAATTTAAAGTGAATTAATTACCAAAATAAAATCCCTCTTTAATTATTTTTGAGGCTATTTTTAATAACTAATGAACTGCAAGCTTTGGGTATAAAATCCTTATTTTTAAAGAACAACATTACTGAGATACAACTTTCTTCTGAAAACTTTCAGCCTTCAAGAACTCTCCATTAATGGATGTCAGATTACAGAAAAAGCCATTAAAGCTTTAGGTAAAAAGCATGGAACTGGCCGGGCACAGTGATTCACACCTATAATCTCAGCACTTTGGGAGGCCGCGGCAGGTGGATCACAAGGTCAGGAGATTGAGAACATCCTGGCTAACACAGTGAAACACTGTCTGTACTAAAAATACAAAAAATTAACTCGGTGTGGTGGCTTGCACCTGTAGTTCTAGGTATGAAGGAGGCTGAGGCAGAAGAATCACTTGAACCTCCAGGAGGCAGAGGTTGTAGTGAGCCGCGATTGCACCACTGCACTCCAGCCTGAGTGACAGAGTGTGACTTCATCTCAAAAAAAGAATAAAAAAAGCATGGAACCACATAGTAATGTAAAACTTCTCATTTACATGTTATGCATCACCTTACATTTATGCATCACCTATTAGCCCATAGAGTGCATTCTTATATCTTATTTGTATTACATTATTTGCATTTTATTAATCACCCTTTGGAGTAGGCATCATCCACGTTTCTCAGTTGAGCAAACTGGGGCTCAGAGACATTAAGTGATCTACTAACAAGCAGAAAATTATAGAAGTTAGACTTTCCAGTTTCAAACATAGCCAAACTTGAAGCAAACATCTTGAAAACATTTCTACTGTCTCCTCAAGTTCTGCACCACATTTATCATAGAGAAAAGCAAATCACGAATAATTACAGACTTTCCCCAACATGATTTGATTTCCACTGTCTTGGGCTGAAAAAGTTATACCATGTATTTACTGCACCATTATGGAAATGTCATTAAATGACTGTATCTTCAGGAGTTATCATTCTCCCAAACTTGGGGGATTTATTCACCCACTACGGTAGGATGATCACTACCATATGGCACCTGCATGAAGGCACTCTAGACTTACAGGATTCACAAGAGACTGATAAGATTTGACTTCTAAACCTGAAGGCTTATCAAGCTGGGGTTTGAGAAATCTTCAGATAAGGTGACATTAGAGACCCATGTGTGGTGTCAGAGCAGCTGCTGTTGCTCTTACACTCTGGAGGAAACATCTAGAAAGAACCTTAATGGAAAGCACTGTGGGCTTCTTTTGTACTTCTGAGGTGGAATAATCCTGAAGTTGAAAGATTTTCATTCATCTAATTTGAGTCGGCTTCTAATCTGTGGTCAACCCAAAAGGAGTCTAATAAATTTGGCCATGGTGGAGACCAAGGCTCTATGCGTAAACAACCCCTGGGCAAACAGAACTTTTGTCCCTGTCGTACCTCAGTAACTAACCCTCGGTAGAGAGATACTGTCTTCTTCTCTTCCAGTTTTTGTTTGTTTTAAAATACAGGGTTCTCCAGGGTCCCCAGGGTCCTCAGTCAGGGAAAATGTAATTGAATAGTATACTACCTGGTGATGATACACTAAAAACAAAGCAAATGATGGCCCCAACAGAGAGTTCATTTATTCTCAAGAATTACTGTGAAGTGTCCTTACTTCAGTCAATGCTCTTCTTTATAATTTTTACATCATAAGGCATAGAAGTAAGTTGATATTGTGTAGCTGAAGAGTAGCATGGGAGACCCTACATACTGGCTGAAGACTGTAGTTAGTTTAATGCCTTAGACTTTCTACTTTATAAAAGGAAAACTATTCTACTAGATGAACCAAAGTAATTGGTCAACTTGTTACAAGGAAGAAGTGTAGAATAGATGATAATTTGCTTACAGAAAGCCTATCCTCTTATCCACTATGACATATTAATCATTTTCTCCCCTCAGATCCTTCTCTTTAAAGCTATCTTTGAGGTAACAGAAAAAAAAGTGGGAATTATGTAAACCTGTTCATTATTTGAGTTTGGGAAATTTGTGTAGTTTCTGAGCCCAAGTTACCTTATTTAGTAAGTATGGGCCATGATGATCAGGGAGCGCTGTGGTGAAAATTCAAAGAGATATTGTATATGAAACCTCTAGTGACTAGTACTGAGC